GCCTGAGGGTCTCTGTTGAGCTTGATTATAGTAGAGCAAAGAGATGGCCCCACATAAGGACTCAACCATGCATGGCAAAGCCAGCCTAATGGCTGGCAAGATGTCATGGGCACTAATTTCTCTGCTACTCTGCAGATGAGCAGAGACAAAAAGGGCATCCTGACGAGGGCTGAGCCTCTGGGCAGCAGGGGGAGGAAGTAGCTTTGAGCCTGGTGACAGCCATCTGCCAGCAAGCACGTTGCTACGGCAGTTGCATGTTGGGCTTTCCGATGAGCCCGGGGGCACCTTGGCAAAGGTTCTGTTTGAGTCTGTTTTGGGGTTCACTGCAGCCAATTAAGCCGACCAGGCCCTTTTCCCCATGGGGGCCTGGTGTGCAATGGCTGCAAACAGCAGCATCCTTGGTAGTGTACGCAACCTGTTGCTTAGTATGGGTTGCCCTAAGGGACCTTGGATACAGCGCTTTCTGGTGGACATTCGTGTCTGAACTCACACTGCCCTCCATCTAGGCTCCAAACGGGTATGCGGGGTGCCTTTGGAAAGCCCCAGGGCACAGTGGCCAGAGTCCACATTGGCCAAGTCATCATGTCCATCCGCACCAAGCTGCAGAACAAGGAGCATGTGATTGAGGCCCTGCGCAGAGCCAAGTTCAAGTTCCCTGGCCGCCAGAAGGTAAGTGCAGCCACCTTTGGTCCCTCCTTTCCTTGCCCAGATTTCCCCCCTGTCCCCCCCCCAATATGTAGACTCAATTCTTTGTTTTTTTTTCCCCCAGATCCACATCTCCAAGAAATGGGGCTTCACTAAGTTTAACGCGGATGAGTTTGAAGACATGGTGGCCGAGAAGCGCCTCATCCCAGATGGCTGTGGGGTCAAATACATCCCTAATCGCGGTCCCCTGGACAAATGGCGAGCCCTGCACTCCTGAGAGTCTTGGTGCTGCCCCCACCTTACACCCACCAATAAATCAGTTTTCCATCCATGTCTTTGTGTTTGGATTCATGGGGGATGGGGAGGCCTCTGGGAACCCTAGGGTTGCTGTCCTTTGTCCTCCAGGGAACAAATAAGCCCAGCACAGCAGCAGGTACCCCAGTTTTCCCCCTTTGAAATGTGCCACAGGGCCTGGCAAGAGCTGACCTTTGGGTAAATAGTGTGCAGCCCCAGACCATAAGCATGACCTCAACTTGAACTTGCCCCTAATGTCTTGCTAGCTGTTCTAAATTATTAATTGCTTAAGAGGCATATCAATTGATTGCTCTACTGATCTAAGCGTTCACTGGTTGATTTCTTACAGGTCCCCTGGCCTGCTATCAAACCTACAATCTCATTGGGGTGGTACTCTTAACCAGTTGGGCTCCCTGACCAGGGCACTGTTTTTACTGCTCTGTTCTCTGGAAAACAGCAGTCCTGGAGTTAGGCCCTTCTCTGATGTATGTCCTGTTTGTTCCCTCACGCTATCACAAAGGAAACATGCTTAAGTTCACAACTTATTACAGTTGCAACTAGCCCATGTATTTTCTGCATCTGTATCCTTGGTAACCACTCCCTGGGGCTACACACAGGATCTGCAGGACACCAGGAAGGCCAGCCCCATTGAATGCTAGCTGCCCCAGGAAGTGTGTGTGTGTGTGGGGGGGGTCCCTGAGAAACACTGGCTGCTGAGTGGCAAAAGTGGCATGGTGTGTTGATGGCCCGCAAAGCAATGGGACTAGAGACCTGGGAACCCTAGCTGGTTTGGACAGCGTTGGCCTGTGGCCTGAAGACTCCTGCATTTGATTCCAGGTAAGGGCACATGCCCACGTTACTGGCTCAATCCCCAGTGGGTATGCAGAAAGCAGCCGATCAATGGTTCTCTTGATGTTTCTATCATTCTTCTGAAATCAATAAAAATAGATTTATTAAAAACACCTGGACCCTGGCTGGTTTGGTTCGGTGGATAGAACTTTGCTGAAAGGTCCCAGGTTCGATTCCGGTCAAGTATGCATACCCGAGTTGTGGGCTCGATCCTCAGTGGGGGTGTGCAGGAGGCAGCTAATCAATGATTCTCATCATTGATTCTCCCTTCCTCTGAATCAAAAAATATAGTATTAGAAAACAAAAAGACCTGGGAGAAAACGGTGCTGTCCCCACCCACACTACCCATTTCACAGAGGAAGAGTCTCGGGCCAATGATGGGAGGAACCTGCTCCATGTCTCTGTACCTGTGTCCCTCCATGTCCCCTTCTCTGGGACAGGCCCCGGGTCAGGCAGGGCTGGGTGGGGCTGTGGCTCCTGGTCCTCAGAGAGCAGTTTCCCTACAGTGACCAACCTACCCGAACTAAGGGGTCCAGCACCTCCTCCCTGGCCACCTTGCCCAGCGTCAGCCTCTGGGCGTTGAAGGCGCAGATGCGAAAGGCCTGGGCCACCCCCACCAGGAGCAGGAGCAGGAGCACAGCTGGGCAGCGCATGGCTGTGTGGGCCGGTGGCACCCTCTGCAGGAACCCAAGGTGGCGGCGTCCCAGCCGGGCCAGCTGTGGTTCCAGAAGGACCTGGGCTGTGGACAGAGAAAGGGATGCTCACCCAGCTGCCCAGCGCCAGCCCCAGAGCTGCCAGCCCCGAAGATGGCTGCCTTTTCCCTCTGTGGGCACCTTCTGATGTGGGCACACGGCTCGGCCTCACTCTCCTCATGGCGATAAGATACACGGGGCATGGAACTGAGCTTCTTCACCAGGTGAGTGGCGTCAAACACATTCAGATTGTGCAACCATCACCACCATCCAAACCCAGGACTTACTCAGCTTCTGAACGGAAACTGTCCACATTAAACACTAACCCCCCCATTTCCCTCCAGAGTCTTGGCACCAGCCACCCTCCTTCCTGTCTCTCTGAGCTTTGCTACTCCAGGCACCTCACAGAATGGAGTCAGTGTCCTTCTGTCTGGCTTATTTCACGTAGTATAATGTCCTCAAGGTTCATCCATATTGTAATGTGTGTCAAAATGTCCCTCTTTTTTTTAAAAAAAATATATTTTATTGATTTTCTACAGAGAGGAAGGGAGAGGCATAGAGAGCTAGAAACATCGATGAGAGAGAAACATCAACCAGCTGCCTCTTGCACACCCCCTACTGGGGATGTGCCCGCAACCAATGTACATGCCCTTGACCAGAATCGAACCTGGGACCTGTCAGTCCGCAGACCGATGCTCTATCCACTGAGCCAAACCGGTTTCAGCGTGTCCCTCCTTTTTTTAAGAATATATTTTATTCACTTTTTACAGAGAGGAAAAGAGAGTGATAGTTAGAAACATCAATGAGAGAGAAACATCGATGTAGCTGCCTCTTGCACACTCCCCACTGGGGATGTGCCCGCAACCAAAGTACATGCCCTTGACCAGAATTGAACCTGGGACCCTTCAGTCCGTAGGACGTTGCTCTATCCACTGAGCCAAACTGGTTAGGTCTCTCTTTTATTTATTTATTTATTTATTTATTTATTTATTTATTTAAATATATTTTATTGATTTTACACAGAGAGGAATTGAGAGGGACAGAGAGTTAGAAATGTCGATGAGAGAGAAACATCGACCAGCTGCCTCTTGCACACCCACTACTGGGGATGTGCCCGCAACCAAGGTACATGCCCTTGACCAGAATCGAACCCGGGACCTTTCAGTCCGCAGGCCGACGCTCTATCCACTGAGCCAAACCGGTCCCAGCTCTCTTTTATTTTTTAACGCGTTAAGTGCCTAGTCAGGTGACTGACACTATACTTTCTGTCCGGAAGACAAAACAGGCTGGGCGCTTAATGTGTTAAGCCCTCAGAACCCAGTATTCCCAGGTGGTCTCCCATCCAACTACTGACCAGGCCTGACCCTGCTTAGCTTAGACCCATGGACGGCAAACTGCGGCTCTTTGGCCCCTTGAGTGTGGCTCTTCCACAAAATACCACGGCCTGGGTGAGTCTATTTTGAAGAAGTGGAGTTAGAAGAAGTTTAAATTTAAACAATGTGGCTCTCCAAAGAAATGTCAGTCGTACTGTTGGTATTTGGCTCTGTTGACTAATGAGTCTGCCGACCACTGGCTTAGAAGGTCAGAGATGAGGAGTGCTCAGGGTGGTATGGTCATAGACAAAGTCTCCTTCCTCGTTAAGGCTGACCGATATTCCGCTGCATGGCTAGCCCCGTGCTGCTCGCCCATTCCTCTGTGAGTGGACACTGGGTGCGACCACCTTCTGGTACTGTGCGTGCTGCTGCTGTGAGCATGGAGAACAGATATCTTTCAGGTTCCTCCTTTCGGTCCTTTTGGGTAAGCACCCAGAAGTGGAATTGCTGAGCCTCATGGGAACGCTGCTTAGTTGGTGGAGGACGTGGCCTACTGTCTTCCATAGCAGCTGCACGGCGTCCATTCCCGGCAGCTGTGCACAAGGTGCAACCTCAGGGGTGACCCCAGCTTTTCACCACCATCACAAGCACCATCACAAACATCTTGGTCCACTCCTTTTTAAAAAAAAAAAATATTTTTTTTTTTATTGATCTCAGAGAGGAAAGGAGAAATAGAAACATCAATGATGAGAGAGAACCATTGATCGGCTGCCTCCTGCACACCCCACATTGGAGATGGAGCCCACAACCCAGGCATGTGCCCTAACCGGGAATCGAACTATGACCTCCTGGTCACCCACTGCACCACACCAACCGGGCTGTTTTAAAAAAAATTTTTTATTGATTTTGGAGAGAGAGAAACCTTGATTTACTGTTGCACTTCTTTATGCATTCATTGGTTGGTTCCTGTATGTGCCCTGACTGGGGATCGAACCTGCAACCGTAGCCTATCAGGATGATGCTCTAACCAACTGCGCTACCTAGCCAGGGCACTAACTGCTTTTACTGAGCTCTGTTCCCTCTCTGACGTCATGTCCTCTGCAGGTCACCTGTGTACGCCCTCCCACATTGTCTGTAGGACTGTCCTAACATACCCCAAGGAAACCTGGGTGTTCCATTTGTGGGCGTGTAACACAGGGACACAGTGATGTGTCCACAAAGCAAACATCATGCTTACAAAGCAGAATTTCTTACAGTTAATTTCTGTCATTACATGACAGCCGGTTCATATATGTTCTGTGCATCCATAGCCTTGGTAACCACTCTGCTCGGGGCCACACCCTATGAATGTGCCAACATGGGCTGCCTGCGCATCATGGGCTTTGCCATAGGCGTTGGGTGTGTTTGCAGCTATTTTCATGAGCTCACACGAGTTCCAATGCATCTGCCATTGTTTTCGAGTGTGTGTGTGTGTGTGTGTGTGTGTGTGTGTGAACTGCTTATCTCCATTTTTGTATCTACTGGGATCTTCCCGCTAATTCACGTGGATCCCATGTGCATACAGGTGCCCCAGTGACATATCTGTTCCACACATGTAGTGTCCTCCTATCTAGCCTTTTGTTCTCAGTTTGTATGTGTTTCCTTTTTGTCATAATTGTTCATGTGTTGTGATTCCCTTTGTGAAGCCCCTTTCCCCTGCCCCAGCCTCGGGCCCCTGCCTTCCTCTTACACATCCTCACGCCAGGCACAGGCCCAGCAGAAGAACATAAGCCAAACCGAAGGAAAGGCAGAGGGTTGCAGTCCAATAGGGCAGGGCTGGGTAGGACCAGGTTGGGCAAGACAGAGCAGGGCTGGGTTGGCTAGGACTGGGCAGGGCCCAGCTGGGCAGGACAGGGCAGGGCAGGATGGGACAGGGCAGGGCAGGATGGGACAGGGCAGGGCAGAACAGGGCAGGGCAGAGCAAGGCCGAGCAGAGCTGGGCAGGGCCAGGCTGGGCTGCAGTCGAAGCCCTTCAGGAATTGCTTTGGCCCAGGGCAGAGAGCCTGGAGAGGCAGGGGTTTGAGTCCTAAAGGGCAGTGCTGTCAGTCATCACGTCTTGGGCAGCAGACACCAGGGTGGGTGAGGCTCAGGCCCCCAGGCCCAGCTGTGGGGACAGGAGCAGCAGGAGCAGCAGCTGGGACAGCAACAGAGCAGCCAGGCTGAGGGGCCGGGCCCCGTGCCCCGCCCGGCTCAGTTTCAGGCTCAGCTCCACCTCCACGGGGTAGTGGTCACTGACGTTGAGGGCCTGTGGTGGACAGAAAGACAGTGTCAGGGCCCAGGGACTTCCCAGCGGCCATTCCCGCTGCCTCGCTTTACCTGCTCCTCGGTGAGCCGGAAGCTCCGGGGGAAATTGAAGGGAGAGGCTGCGTGCAGCAGCCTCCGGCAGCGCTCCCCGTGCAGCACGATGCGGTCGTAGGCACAGTGGGTGCTGGCGCGCACCGTGGTGTCCTCGCCGTCGGGGATCGCCCAGTAGAAACCGGCCTTAGTGCGCAGCGTCAGCTCCCCGAGGCGCTTCTTGGCCAGGGAGCCGCAGTCAGCATTGAAGTCCCCCAGCAGGATGATGTCCTGGAGAGGGCGCAGCTGTTGTCAGGCCACACGCCATCGGGTCCCCCTCTCTCCCATGCCACCTGCCCGGCCCTACCTCGCTCTGCCAGCGCCGGGAGGCATCCAGAAACACGTCATACAGAGCGTTCAGCTCCAGCTCCACGGTCTTCGGAGAGGTGTGTAGGGGGACCAACACCAAGCTGGGAAGGTCTGCAAGGCCCCAAGGGTAGAGGGCTCCTACCTGCTCCTGGCTCTTCTCTCTGCGGCCCCCTCTGGGTGACCGAGTCCCCAGGGGAGCCAGCCAGCCCCCCCCCTCCCGCTGCCCACAGCCCGGCCGGCCTTCTTCCCCTCTCACCCTTGCTGGGCAGCGTGAACTTGGCCACAAAGGGCTCCCGGGTAAAGAGGTCATCATCCTGGTCATCGTACACATAAGACTCCTGGATCTGCATCTTGTGGGGCCTGGGGGACCGAGGGGTAGGAAGCAGCATCCCCACATCACTGATTCTGGTTTGCAAGTGCCACATCGGAGCTGGCACTCAGGGAGAGGGCCTCTGCCAGCAGCTCAGTCCCATTGGGCACAGCCTCCCCAGCCTCCCCTCCCCTCCCCCCTTCCTAGCCTTTTCCCTAGAATTTTATTGAGAGAAAATTCACAAACCATAAGCCCGGCTGGTGTGGCTCAGTGGTTGAATGTTGACCTATGACTCAGGTCCTGGTTGGATTCTTGCTAGCCTCAATTCCCAGAAGGGGGCATGAAGGAGGCAGCCGATCAATGGCTCTCTCTCATGATTGATGTTTCTGTTTCTCCCTCTCCTTTCCTCTCTGAAATCAATAAAGTATCTTTTTTTTTTTAAATATATTTTATTGATTTTTCACAGAGAGGAAGAGAGAGGGATAGAGAGTTAGAAACATCGATGAGAGAGAGTCATCAACCAGCTGCCTTTTGCACACCCCCTACTGGGGATGTGCCCGCAACCAAGATACATGCCCTTGACCGGAATCGAACCCGGGACCTTTCAGTCCGCAAGCCGACGCTCTATCCACTGAGCCAAACCGGTGCCAGCTCAATAAAGTATCTTTTAAAAAATTCACATACCGCCAAAACCGGTTTGGCTCAGTGGATAGAGAGTAGGCCTGGGGACTGAAGGGTCCCAGGTTTGATTCTGGTCAAGGGCATGTACCTTGGTTGAGGGCACATCCCCAGTGGGGGGGGGGTGTGCAGGAGGCAGCTGGTCAATGTTTCTCTCTCATCGATGTTTCTAACTCTCTATCCCTCTCCCTTCTCTGTAAAAAAACAATAATGTATATATTGATTTCAGAGAGGATGGGAAAGGGAGAGAGAAGCATCAATGATGAGAGAGAATCATTGATTGGCTGCCTCCTGTACACCCCACACTAGGGATCAAGTTCCCAAGCAGGGCATGTGCCCAGACCGGGAATCGAACTGTGGCTTCCTGGTTCATAGGTCGATGCTCAACTGCAGAGCCATGCCAGCCGGGCACCCCTTTTATTTTGGAGTGAATTCTGGACATTATATACTTCCATCTATATAAAGAAATAGGTGCTCCGCCGGTGTGGCTCAGTGGTTGAGCATCCACCTATGAACCATTAAGTCATGGTTCGATTCCCGGTCAGGGCACATGCCCAGGTTGTGGGCTCGATCCCCAGTGTGGGGCATGCAAAAGGCAGCTGATGAATGATTCTCTCTCCTCATGGATGTTTCTATCTCTCTCCCTCTCCCTTCCTCTCTCTGAAATCAATAAAAACATATAACAGCCCTGACTGGTTTGGCTCAATGGATAGAGCGTCGGCCTGTGGACTCAAGGGTCCCAGGTTCGATTCCGGTCAAGGGCATGTACCTTGGTTGTGGGCACATCCCCAGTAGGGGGTGTGCAGAAGGCAGCTGATCTATGTTTTTCTCTCATTGATGTTTCTAACTATCGCTCTCCCTTCCTTTCTGTAAAACTTCAATAAAATATATTTTAAAAATGTATAACAATATTAAGAAAAAAAATAGGTCTCCTCCCTGGCAGTCCCCCTTGCCCTCTCGATCCTGACCCTGAGGCTGTCCTCCCAGGATCCGAGGGCTGTTTCTGGAACCCGTGTCCACCGGAGGCCCACAACAGGCCCCGTTAGAGCCTCTTCCCGGAAGCTGCAGTCAGCCACTCCGAAATGGGGCAAGACACGCCAGAGCCCTAAGGGCTTCCACCAGAGAGGCGGTGTGTGTGTGTGTGTGTGTGTGTGTGTGTGTGTGTGTGTGACATCTGTACATGGATGAGGCCTGCTGCAGGGCAGGTGAACACTGAAGCTGGCAAGGCTACAGGAGGGCAGAGCCCAGAATAAAAGGGCCGAGGAGATAAAGAGGGAGAGAAGGTGAGGGCTGCTCTGGGAGGAAGGGGTCTGAGACTACTGAGCCATCTCACAGCGAGCCAAGTGCCAAGTCCGCCCCGGCCACCGTGTGTACTTACCTGTAGATGTACACATACTTCTCCACATATGTGCTGCGCCCCAGGAAGGGGCTGCTCAGAAATGTGTAGGGCCCAGAGTTATCAAATCTGCCAGGAAAGGGGAACCGAGGGTCAGGGACCCCGAGGCTCGAGGGGGTCCCCGGGGTAGACCCCCAGAGCCCAGCTCACCGGTTGAGTTCTCGGATCAGGAGGGAGATGGCGCTGCCAGTAGAGTCCACCAGCTCCTGCAGCACCGTGATGTCGCAGCGAGCCAGGATCTGCAGGACACCAGCAAGGCCGGCCCAATCAGTGCCAGCTGCCCCAGGAGGGGTAAAGCCTCTGAGAAACTGGCACTGGCCACTGATGTGGGCCAGAGTGGCATGGTGTGCTGGCTGTGGCCCACAGAAGTGGGCCCAGAAAAGACCTGGGTGGGTCTGGCCGGCGTCCTCAATGGCTCCATGGTTAAGCATCGACCTATGAACCAGGAGGTCACTGTTCCATTCCCGGTCAGGGAACATGCCCAGGTTGTGGGCTCGATCCTCAGTATGGAGCCTGCAGGAGGCAGCCAATCAGTGATTCTCTCTCATTGTTGATGTTTCTCTCTCCCTCTCCCTTCCTCTCTGAAATCAATAAAAACACACTGAGTGGCCAGATTATTATGATCTCTGAACACATAATAAGCTGGCCACTCAGTGTGTGTGTGTGTGTGTGTGTGTGTGTGTATGTATTTTTTTTTTGAGGCCCGGTGCATGAATTTGTGCATGGATGGGGTCTGGCCAGCCTGGCCACGGTGAGGGGACATGGGTGGTTGGCCGGCCTGCCTGCTGGTCGAACTCCTGGTGAAGGGGACAATTTGCATATTAGCCTTTTATTCTATAGGATATACACTGAGTGGCCAATTATGAGTTCAGAAATCATGATAATCTGGCCACTCAGTGTACATGAAAGAAACAAAAAGACCTAGGAATGTGCTCCATATCTCTGCACCCTTGTTTCTTGATGTCCCTTTAAAAAAAATATCTGTTTTTATTGACTTCAGAGTGGAAGAGAGAGGGAGAGAGAGAGACAGAAACATCAATGATGAATCATTGATCGGCATGACCTCCACCGGGGATCGAGCCCGCAATCCAGGCATGTGACCTGACCGGGAATCAAACCGTGACCTCCTGGTTCATAGGTCAACACTCAACCACAGAGCCACGCCAGCTGGGCTTTCTCGATGTCCCCTTCTCTGGGACAGGCCCCGGGTCAGGCAGGGCTGGGTGGGGCCGTGGCTCCTGGTCCTCAGAGAGCAGTTTCCCTACAGTGACCAACCTACCCGAACTAAGGGGTCCAGCACCTCCTCCCTGGCCACCTTGCCCAGCGTCAGCCTCTGGGCGTTGAAGGCGCAGATGCGAAAGGCCTGGGCCACCCCCACCAGGAGCAGGAGCAGGAGCACAGCTGGGCAGCGCATGGCTGTGTGGGCCGGTGGCACCCTCTGCAGGAACCCAAGGTGGCGGCGTCCCAGCCGGGCCAGCTGTGGTTCCAGAAGGACCTGGGCTGTGGACAGAGAAAGGGATGCTCACCCAGCTGCCCAGCGCCAGCCCCAGAGCTGCCAGCCCCGAAGATGGCTGCCTTTTCCCTCTGTGGGCACCTTCTGATATGGGCACACGGCTCGGCCTCACTCTCCTCATGGCGATAAGATACACGGGGCATGGAACTGAGCTTCTTCACCAGGTGAGTGGCGTCAAACACATTCAGATTGTGCAACCATCACCACCATCCAAACCCAGGACTTTCTCAGCTTCTAAACCGTGGTTCTCAACCTTCCTAATGCCTCGACCCTTTATTTATTTATTTTTAATTTTTTTATATTTTAAAATATATTTTATTGATTTTTCACAGAGAAGAAGAGAGAGGGATAGCAAGTTAGAAACATTGATGAGACAGAGAGTCATCGATCAGCTGCCTCCTGCACGCCCCTACTGGGGATGTGCCCGCAACCAAGGTACATGCCCTTGACCAGAATCCAACCTGGAACCCTTCAGTCCGCAGGCTGACGCTCTATCCACTGAGCCAAACCGGTTTCGGCCAGGTTCCTCTTTTCGGTCCTTTTGGGTAAGCACCCAGAAGTGGAATTGCTGAGCCTCATGGGAATGCTGCTTAGTTGGTGGAGGACGTGGCCTACTGTCTTCCATAGCAGCTGCTCGGCGTCCATTCCTGGCAGCTGTGCACGAGGTTCAACCTCAGGGGTGACCCCGGCTTTTCACCACCATTATGAGCACCATTTTCATGAATATCTCTCTCTCCACTTCTGAGCTTTTTTTAAAGTGTATAGTTACCTTTATTATAATTCATAAATGCATTAGAAATGGATTTTTAAAATGACAATTAAGCTCTCTTGAGCTTCTGCTTTCTGTTCATTCAGCTCTGCCCTAGCCGGTTTGGCTCAGTGGATAAAGCATCGGCCTGCGGACTGAAGGGTCCCAGGTTCGATTCCTCATCAGGGCACATGCCAGGGTTGTGGGCTCCATCCCCAGTAGGAGGTGTGCAGGAGGCACCCGATCAATCATAGATGTTTCTATTTCTCCCTTCCTCTCTGAAATCAATAAGAACATAATAAACGGAGCCAAAACAGGTTTGGCTCAGTAGATAGAGCGTCGGTCTGTGGACTGAAAGGTCCCGGGTTCGATTCTGGTCAAGGGCAAGTACATTGGTTGCGGGCACATCCCCAGTGGGGGGGGGGTGTAGGAGGCAGCTTGTCGATGATTCTCTCTCATTGAAGTTTCTAGCTCTCTATCCCTCTCCCTTCCTCTCTGTAAAGAATCAATAAAATATATTTTTTAAAAAGAGCATATTAAACGTAAAATAAAATGATCTCAGATACACCAATCACCCCACTGCAGTGTGTGATGGCCCCTATCCCATTCCCCACCTCACCGGTGAGCCCCTCTTGTTCGTCTTATCAGCTCAGCCCTCTTCTTCCCGAGGGTCTCCGTGTATTTTTGTCCTAGACTCACCCAGACTTTGCTCTCTCGGGTTCAGCTCCTTGATCCACCCTGTCCATGTGGCTCTCAGTGACATTGTAAGTCCTTCTACTTCTGTCTGCCTGCTCCCTTCTATCACCTTCCCCCTGGTTCTTTCCAAAAATAGGGACTTTTTAAAAACGCCACGGGACGCGGGACAAATTGTTAAAAATCGGGACTGTCCCGCCAAAAGCGGGACGTCTGGTCACCTTACGCTTGGGGCTGACTTTCTGCCTCTCTTAGGCTCTTCCTGCTTCTGTTTTTCTTGGCCTCTCTGTTTTAAAAAAATTATTGATTTTTTTACAGAGAGGAAGGAAGAGGGAGAGAGAGTTAGAAACATCAAAGAGAGAGAAACATCCATCATCTGCCTACTGGGGATGTGCCCGCAACCAAGGTACATGCCCTTGACCGGAATCGAATCTGGGACCCTTGAGTCCACCGACACTCTATCCACTGAGCCAAACCGGTTAGGGCTTCTTGGTCTCTCTTGTTCGTTCATCTCTCATGGCTTCTCTGCATATCTCCACTATCCTGGCTGGGCATGGTGCCTGTTCCTCCCTTGTCACCTGCTCTGTCACTCATGCTAGTTTGGGGCTCCCGCCCTGGTGCCTATTCTGGGACGGATGTGTGTGGAAGGCAGCCCTGGGCTGGCAAGGGCAGGCTTGGAGGATCTAGGGCCAGAGGCTCCCCGGAGGGTCCAGTACAAGAAGAACCAGAGTGACTGTACCTGGCAACAGCCCAAAGCCCAGCCTGGGCTCCCAACGCCTGGCGTTGGCCCTAGCCTTGGGGTTCCCTTCCCCTCTCACTACCCTCCACCTCGGGAGTAACATTGTCCCTCCCTCTGCCCAGAGGGCTTCCATACCTTCGCAGAACAGCTTGTCTCCACACCTGCCTCAGCTGTAAGCGGATCGGGACACCCCACGGAATCGCAGCAGCTGCCTTTCAGGGACCGGAGAGAAGAGGAACAGGATGTCGGTCCTCCCCACTCATGCAGGGCCCGGCCGGCCGGTCCCTGCCCCGCCCAAGCGTCTGCAAGCAGGGCGAGCTCCTGGCCCGGGACAGCGGACCGCCCGCCCACTTTCCCACCAGGCCCCGCCTTCCCGCTGCGGGCGTGGGACCGAGCCGGGCGGAGGCCCCAGGCTGCAGGCAGATGTCAGATCTGTGAGTCACTGAGATCAAGCCACAGCTGCTCGTTAACGAATGGTAGCCTGTGCCGAGGGAGGGGAAATGCTGGCGCCTGAGTGCAAACCCCTAGGTGCATTCTCCCAGGCCGGGCGCTCAGCCCCAGGGCTTTCCCAGGCAGCATCTGTGGAGGGAAGATGCAATGGCTGGAGCTCATACCCGACTGGAGGGGCGCGAGAGCTTTTTCTCCACGTCCTCCCGCCGGGTCCTCTGTGGCTGCACAGAGCGGGCTGAGAACCGTCCCCGAGAGAAGGGGATGTGAGAGCTGCTAGCTCAGCACCGCGTGGGGCCCGGCCCTCTTTCTGTCGGAACAACTGGGGGACCCCGGCAGCGTCCAGGGTAAGAGGCGGGTCTGCCTTGGCTGGTTGTGGAGCGGTCATCAGGACAGTGTCGCCGTCGCCAGGATTGGGGGTGGTGATGAGCAGGTTGGAAAAAAATTTTACATCAATAAAATGATTTAAAATGAAAGATAGACCTCTTGAGGGGTACAGGGCTTTCCTTTGGGGGTTATCATGTTTTGGAACTAGTTTGACGTGATGGTTGCCAACACTGCAAATGTATCAAGTGATATACTATGTATATATTGCTATATATGTTACATCACATGTTACACTGTATATCAGATACATGTATACAGGTATCTGTAATATTGTAATTATGTAGGAGCACATGTGTAACAACGTGTATGTTGTATATATAAAATATACAATTTAAAATATTATAGCCCTAATCGGTTTGGCTCAGTGGATAGAGCGTCGGCCTGCAGACTGAAGGGTCCCAGGTTTGATTCCAGTCAAGGGCATGTTCCTTGGCTGCGGGCACATTCCCAGTAGGGGGTGTGCAGGAGGCAACTCATCAATATTTCTAACTCTCTATCCCTGTCCCTTCCTCTCTGTAAAAAGTCAATAAAATATATTTTTAAAAATAAAATATTAGCCGAAACTGGTTTGGTTCAGTGGATAGAGCGTCGGTCTGTGGACTGAAAGGTCCCAGGTTCGATTCCGGGCAAGGGCATGTACATTGGTTGCGGGCACATCCCTGGTAAAGGGTGTGCAGGAGGCAACTGGTCGATGTTTCTCTCTCATCGATGTTTCTAGCTCTCTATTCCTTTCCCTTCCTCTCTGTAAAAAATCAATAAAATATATTTTTAAAAAATAAAAAATAAAAAATTATAAAATACCATAGCCCTAGCTGGTTTTCCATTCCGTCCTAGGGCACATGCCCGGGTTGCGGGGTCCACCCACACGCCAGCAGGGAACGTGCGGAGGCGGCCAATCAATGATTCTCAGGATGTTTCTATCTCTCTATCCCTCTCCCTTCCTCTCTGAAATAAAAAATAAAAAATAAAAAAATAATAAGACTTTAGACATAATAAAAAATAAAATACCATAAAACGGTTTAATTTTATGTTGTAGGAATTCTACCTCAATAAAAATAAAGGGGGGGGGGCAACACGAAGGTAGAAATGCTCCGCTAGCCGGACTGTGAGCGGTGTCAGGTAACGCCGCTGTGCAGCCCAGGATTTTCCTGGGGTGGAACTGAGACAAAAGGAGCGCAGCGGGCGGCGCCGGGCACTGAGGCTGCGCCGGGCTGGGCGGGGCCTGGGGCGGGGCCTGGGGCGGGGCCTGGGGCGGGGCCTGGGGCGGGGCCTGGGGCGGGGCGTCGCTGCCGTCAAGCGGCCCAGCGCGTTTGCGACAGGCGGCGGCTGTGGAACGTGGGGACTTGACCGCTTCGCTTTTCCCGGGGTGGGCGGGGGGCGCGTGCTTTCCAGCTCCCACTCCTGTCGTTCCTCGCCGCGATCCCAGACTCCTGATCACGGTGGGCTGGCCGGTGGCGAGGGGGGCCGGCCGGCCTCTGGCCGCCCCGCGAGGTGACCTTGTTCGAGTCCCCTGTCGCGCTGAGACGCGGCGCGAGTTGCTGGCGTAGACCTGTTAGTCACCCGGCTGTGGGGCAGTTGAGGACACCCCAGCAGCTGCCCCGGGGCAGGGGAACGGCCGGGCCGCCGGGAGCGGTGGAGTGTGTGTGGGGGATGCCCCTTCATGTGAAATGGCCGTTCCCCGCCGTGCCGCCGGTCACCTGGACCCTGGCCAGCAGTGTCGTCATGGGACTGGTGGGCACCTACAGCTGCTTCTGGACCAGTGAGTGGGCTTGGCTGGGGGGGAGCCCTGGGCCTCAGGAGAGGAGGAGGCCAAGACCCCCACGTTTTTCTCTCCCCACCAGAGTGCATGAACCGCCTCACCGTCCACAACAAGGAAGTGCTGTATGAGCTCATTGAGAACCGCAGCCCGGCCACGCCCCTCATCACCGTCTCCAATCACCAGTCCTGCATGGATGACCCTCATCTCTGGGGTACACGGGCCAGTGTGCTGGGCACAGGGAGGCTGGGAGAGAACCCCGGCAAGGGCCAAACAGAAGCAGAACAAGCTCACTTCCCGCTGGGCTCTTCAGAGCTCTGGGACTACTGTTTCCGGGAAATCCAGCCCCCGTGTGACCCCTCCAGCATCCTCTCAGGGAAGGTGATTTTTGGAGAGACCCTCAGAAGTTTGGAGGGAATGAGGAAGCGAGGAAATGGCCACAGGGCAAGGTCTGACCATTTACTCTGTTGCAGCAGGCCTGGGGAACCTGTTTTCTAAATCATGGAAGGTCCCACAGAGTCTTGGAATCTTGGGAACAAATCCGAGGACCCGTCAAGGAAACTCTGGGCTAGGGGCTGAGAGACCTGTATCCTGGTTCCAGGTTTGCCCCAGGCTGAGTTTGTACCCTTCAGCCAACCTTATTTGGGAGCCCGATTCCCCACCTACAAGTTCCTGCCCTGCTGACTTCACAGGGACTTGTTTTCACTGCTGAATGCAGGAGGTTAGACTCTCTTACAGCTCAGGGGCAACCACTTGGATAAATCAGCCTTTCAGAACTCATCCTGGCTGCTGCTAGGCAGAGAATGGTCTGAGTGCCACTGCCAGATTCCAGGAGGCTTAATACACACACACACACACACACACACACACTGAGTGGCCAGATAATTATGATCTCTGAATGCATAATAATCTGGCCACTCAGTGTATGTCCTATATAATAAAAGTCTAATATGCAAATTGTCCCCTCAACCAGGATTTCTACCAGCAGGCAAGGCTGGCCAACTGCCCATGTCCCCTTACCTTGGCCAGGCTGGCCGGACCCCGCCCATGCACAAATTCATGCACCAGGCCTCTAGTATTATGATGTTCAGAGATCATAATAACCTGGCTACTCAGTGTATATTTGTATTTATTTCAGAGAGGACGAGAGAGAGAGAGAGAATATCAATGATGTGAGAGAATCATCAATTGGCTGCCTCCTGCATGCCTTACACAGCGGACTGAGCCTGCAACCTGAGCATGTGCCCTTGACCTGGTTCACAGTTGATGCTCAACTCCTGAGACATTCCAGCTGGGCAGGAAGGAGGCGCAGTGATCGCCAACCGGTGCTCCATGGACCACTGGTGGTCTGTGAGGTCCGAAAGGTTGACGACCGCTGGAGAGCATTCCAGTAGCCTGGACTCTGGTGATGGTGGTGAAACTGGAGAGGGAAGGTATAGAATAGGCAGCATCAAAATACATTGGGGAGGTTGGCAGACCAGACATGGTGACTGATAAAACATGGGGAGGGGGACAGAGCAAGGAGCCAGTGAGAACTTGGGAGTCCGGCCCAAGGTTCCAGAAGATGCCACTTCAGGCCATTGGGGAACTGGTAGTGACCCTTGTCCCTCATCCCCCGAAGTGGGATGACAGAACAAGGTGCTTCCAGGAACAAGGTAAGTGGAGGCATGAAAGCTTTCCTCTCTTCCTCCAGGGATCCTGAAACTCCGCCACATCTGGAACCTGAAGTTGATGCGTTGGTGAGGAGGAATGAGCCCCTCCCAATGGGCCCGGCAGGACCCACCCGTCTCTGCCCAGATTTGCCTTCCTCCTGCTCTGACCAGGAGGCGGCAGCCAGCAGCCCAGGCAGGGCATGGGGTGGGGCGCCGCAGGCCCTCTGGGCCTACGTTTCACATCGCTGATGGTGCCAGGCAGCACGCGGGGGGTCGGGAAGCAGGGCACTGGGGAGGCGGACATGACTGTGTCTGTCCCCACTCCAGGACCCCCGCGGCTGCAGACATCTGCTTCACCAAGGAGCTGCATTCTCACTTTTTCAGCCTGGGCAAGTGCGTGCCTGTTTGCCGAGGTGAGTTACTCCTCCGGGAGAAGCCGGTGGGCTGGTGGGGGCAGGGAGACGCTTCTGCGGGTTTCTCTGGCTTGAGCTTGGAGCAGGTAGCCTGGTGGCCAGTGCCTCTGGCTTGGAAACACTGGGAGTGGAGGGACGCAGGTGAGACAGGCAGCCTGGGAGGGGGAGGTCAGGGAGCCAGCAAGTGCTGCCCGCTAGCCTGAGGCCCAGCTCCATCGCTGGAGGAGTGCCGTTCCTCAGAGAGAGAGCTCCATTCTCTGCACAGGCCTGAGGATTGTGCCAACCTGGGGCTCTGGCGTTAGAAGTCAGGGAGGCATGCCCTGGTCGGTTTGGCTCAGGGGATAGAGCCGTGGTCGGCAAACTGCGGCTCGAGAGCCACATGCGGCTCTTTTTGGCTTCTTGAGTGTGGCTCTTCCACAAAAATACCACGGGCGGGGCGATTCTATGTTGAAGAAGTGGCATTAGAAGAAGTTTAAGCTTAAACAATGTGGCTCTCCAAAGAAATTCAATCGTTGTCCTATTGATATTTGGCTCTGTTGACTGATGAGTTTGCCGACCACTGGGATAGAGCACCGGCCCATCAAGGGCATGTACCTCTGTTGCAGGCTCGATCCTCCCCCCTGGTTGTTGTTGCACGCGTGGGAGGCAACCAATCCATGTGTCTCTCTCACATCCATGTTTCTCTCTGTGTGTCTCTCCCCCTCCCTTCCACTCTCTCTAAAAATCAATGGAAAAAAAATATCCTCAGGTGAGGATTAACAAACAAACAAACAAAAAAAAAAAGGAGTCACTGGGGGCAGTGTGTTATCTGTGGTGCTGGTGGCTGGTGCTGCAGGCTGCAGGGAAAACACACTTACTTGTGGAGGGAGGTGTGTACCATTGAATGATTACTGGGCACCTCTGAGGAGGCTTGGGAGGTCGGGGCCATTCTGGTATCCATTCTCCACATATGGAAGGATGGAGCTGCTGGCCCAAGGTCATTGGCAAGATGTGGCAAAGCCAGGATTCAGATCCAGGGTGCTCTTTTCTCTGGGGAAATAGAATATTTCCCGACAGAATGTGAAAGGAAAAGCATTCTAGGTGCATGTGCCAGGCACTACAGAGGTCATCGATAAGGGTAGAAAATGCAGGCTAGCTCCCGCTGCAGGCCTGGCTCAGTGGTTGAGCATTGACCTATGAACCAGGAAGTCACGGTTGGATTCCTGATCAGGGCTCAGTTCCCAGTAGGGGGTGTGCAGGAGGCAGCTGATCAGTGTTTCTCTCATCATCATTGATGTCTCTCTCTCTCTTCCTCTCTGAAATCAATAAGAATATATACTTAACAACAACAAAAAAAGAACAGTTGGGAATAAAGATACTGGAGACTCAACCACAAACTCACAAACATAGAGGCAAGATTGTGGAGGGGGAGAGCAGGGACCCAGGATAGCACCTCAGAGCACAGAAGGAAAGAGAGAGCAAGGCAGCAGGAAGCAGTGGCCACAGAGGAAGTAAGCAAAGCCGCAGGGGCTTCTGGGGCTGGAGAGGGGGAAGGGAAACAGCAGTGGTGGCCACTCCTTCCAGAGATTGGTGGTGAGGCAGAAAGAGGAAGAAGTAACCAATGGCCCTGGCCAGGTGGCTCAGTTAGTTGGAGCGTCATCCCATACACCAAAAGGTTGCAGGTTCGATTCCTAGTCACGCCACATACCTAGGTTGTGGGTTTGATCCCTGATCATTGCAGAAGGCAATCGATCAATGTTTCTGTCTTACACTGATGTTTCTCTCTCTCCCTTCCCCTCTCTCTCAAATCAATAAAAATGGCCCTAGCCGGTTTGACTCAGTGGAGAGAGCATTAAACTGTGGACTGAAGGGTCCCGGGTTCAATGCCAGTCAAGGGCATATGCCTGGGTTGTGGCATTGATTCCCAGTGGGGGGGGGGCGTGAAGGAGGCAGCCCATCAGTGATTCTCATCATTGATGCTTCTCTTTCTCCCTCTTCCTTCCTTTCTGCAATCATTAAAAATTGATTTAAAAAAATAAAATCAGCCGAAACCGGTTTGGCTCAGTGTTAAGAGTGTCGGTCTGGGGACTGAAGGGTCCCAGGTTCGATTCCGGTCAGGGGCATGTACATTGGTTGCGGGCACATCCCCAGTAGGGGGTGTGCAAGAGGCAGCTGGTCGATGTTTCTCTCTCATCGACGTTTCTAGCTATCTCTCTCCCTTCCTCTCTGTAAAAATCAATAAAATAAATTAAAAAAAATAAAATCAATAAAAATGTATCCTTAGGTGAGTATTTAAGTAAAAAAAGGCCTACCTGGTATGGCCAAGTGGTTGAGCATCAACCTATGAACCAAGTGGTCACTGGTTTGATTCCTGGTTGGGGCACATGCCCAGGTTGCAGGCTTAATCCCCAGTAGGTAGGCATGTAGGAGGCAGCCAATGGATGGTGATTTTTTTTCTCATCGATATTTCCATCTCTCTATCCCTCTCCCTTCCTCTCTCTCTGAAAATAAATAAAAATAGTCTGGCTGGAGTGGCTCAGTGGTTGAGCAACAACCTACAATCCAAGAGGTCATGGTTCGATTCCTGGTCAAGGGCTCATTCCCGGGTTATGGACTCAATAAAAGGCAGATCAATGGTTCTCTCTCATCATTGATGTTTCTATTTCCCTCTCCCTTCTTCTCTGAAATCAATAAAAAATATTTTTTAAAGAAATAAAAAATAAACATTTTAGAAAATTAATAACACATTTTTTTTTTTTTTTTTTTTACAAAAAGAAGAACCAAAAGGTGTTAATGGTGTTAAGGGGGAGGTTTTATTTTATTTTATTTTTAATATATTTTTATTGATTTCAGAGAGGAAAGGAGAGGGAGAAAGAGATCAAAACAATCAATGATGAGAGAGAATTATTGATCGGCTGCTTCCTGCACACCCCGCACTGGGAATGGAGACTGCAACGCAGGCACATGCCCTTGCCTAGAATTGAACCCAGGACCCTTCATTCCAAAGGCTGATGCTGTATCCACTGAGCCAAACCAGCTAGGGCAAAGGGTAGTTTTTAAAAATATATATTTTATTGATTTTTTTTTTAACAGAAAGGAAAGGAGAGGGATAGAGAGTTAGAAACATCGATGAGAGAGAACCATCAATCAGCTGCCTCTTGCACTCCCTCTACTGGGGATGTGCCCCCAACCAAGGTACGTGACCTTGACTGGAATCGAACCCGGGACCTTTCAGTCCATAGGCTGACGCTCTATCCACTGAGCCAAACCCGTTTCAGCAAGGAGTAGGTTTTTTTTTTTTTTTTTTAAATATATTTTATTGATTTTATACAGAGAGGAAGGGAGAGAGACAGAGAGTTAGAAACATCGATGAGAGTCATCGATCAGCTGCCTCTTGCACACCCCCTACTGGGGATGTGCCCGCAACCAAGGTACATGCCCTTGACCGGAATCGAACCCGGGACCCTTCAGTCCCCAAACCGACGCTCTATCCATTGAGCCAAACCGGTCCCGGCAGTTTTTTTTTTTTTAATTATTATTTCTAGTTGGTCAAAATAAAGCATGATAAAGTCCAATAAAATACCTCAAATAAATGAAAATGAAAAGCTGCAGCACCCGTGCCTCCAAATCCACAGATGACTTACTCCCCAGAGACAGTGCCTATAATACTTTTTCATTTGGCTGCTTTGGGTGGCTGTCTCTTTAAGGCACAAGCAGACGCTACAGTGTCATGGCTGGTGACCATGGAGCTATCTGTCACGCCCTGTTCTCAGATGGGGACTCTGCTCTAACACCCCGTCCCCGAGTCTCAGTTCCCTCCCTTCTGCAACCTCGGACAGAAGCAGCCCGTGCCCATTTCCTGTCTCTTTGACCTGCATCTAAGAAGTATTGCACAGTTGAAATCAGAAAGCATAAAAACCCCTAAAAAACAGAAAGCAAAATCTTAATCCTCACTGAAACCGGTTTGGCTCAGTGGATAGAGCGTTGGCCTGTGGACTGAAAGGTCCCAGGTTCAATTCCGGTCAAGGGCACGTACCTTGGTTGGGGGCACATCCCCAGTGGGAGGTGTGCAGGAGGCAGGGAGAGGGATAGAGAGTTAGAAACATTGATGAGAGAGAAACATCGACCAGCTGCCTCCTGCACACCCCCTACTGGGGATGTGCTCGCAACCAAGGTACATGCCCTTGATCGGAAACGAACCTGGGACCTTTCAGTCTGCAGACTGACTCTCTATCCAATGAGCCAAACCGGTATCAGCTAAAATATATTTTAAAAAATCTTAATCCTAAGCACCTTCAGTGAGAAAGTGGGCAGGGACAAGCCTTTCATCAAATGCATTTGAGGCCGAAACCGGTTTGGCTCAGTGGTAGAGCGTCGGTCTGCGGACTGAAGGGTCCCAGGTTCGATTCCGGTCAAGGGCATGTACCTTGGTTGCGGGCACATCCCCGGTAGGGGGTGTGCAAGAGGCAGCTGGTCGATGTTTCTCTCTCATAGACGTTTCTAGCTCTCTATCTCTCTCCCTTCCTCTGTAAAATATCAATAAAATATATTTAAAAAAAAATGCATTTGATGGACAGCAGAAATGTAACATGTTGAAGCAAAGGAACTATCTGGCATACCTTGTTTCAGTGTTCCAAAAAAATTCCCTTTTCCTCCAAGCATAGGCCTTGTGATATGCATGAAGTATCGGAGCGATCTTGCACAAGCTCTACAAGTGAGTAGAAAGACCATTTGCAAAAGCTAAACGTTATGAAGAGTTGCACCCAAAGCATAGCATTCTTTTGTATTATTTTTAAATATATTTGTATTGATTTCAGAGAGGAAGGGAGAAGGAGAGAGAAAGAGAGAGAGAGAGAGAATCATCAATGATGAGAGAATCACCGATTGGCTGCTTCCTGCACATCCCGCACTGGGGACTGCGCCCACAACCATGATCACAGAATTGAACCATGACTTCCTGGTTCCTAGGTTGATGCTCAGCCACCGAGCCACGGCAGCCTGGCTAGAGGAGATGGTTTAACAAAGGATGTCAAGGGCCGCGAAGTGGTCCAGTCGGGACTGAGCGGGCTTGGGAGAGACAGTCATCGGAGGATGTCTGTATGGACCGTGCAGGGAGGAGGAGGGCCGTCCTGAGCTGCCGCTTCGTTCTGTTCCGCGGGAGAGGGACCCACAGGCCCGGGAGAGTGGGGACTGATGGGGAGAGGCCTTTTCTCGGCAGGAGACGGTGTCTACCAGAAGGGAATGGACTTCATTTTGGAGAAGCTCAACCATGGGGATTGGGTGCACATCTTCCCAGAAGGTCAGTGGGGCTGGCGGCGGGGCAATGCTCCCGGGAATATAGATGAGGCTCCGCCCCCTCCAAAGCTTCCCCTCTGTCTTGTCCCTCCCAGGAAAAGTGAACATGAGCTCCGACTTCCTGCGCTTCAAGTGGGGTAAGGGCTGCTGGCCCTCTGGGGCAGCTGAACGTGTTGGTAACAGCGGCCAGGGGCCAGGGGCTGAGACAAGGGCTGGCCCAGGGGAGCCGGTGTGAACTGGGGACGGGCAGGGTGGCCCCCGCTGCAGGCCAGCCCTGAAAGCTTCGCCCAACATTTCTGCCTCCCTCCGGGCAGGAATTGGGCGCCTGATCGCCGAGTGTCATCTCGACCCCGTCATCCTGCCGCTGTGGCATGTGGGTAAGCCTCCCTCTGGGGCAGGCCTGGGCCTGGGGCTGGGGGCAGGGAGAGGGGCTTTCCTAGGGGCCAGGCTGGGGCCCGGGGCTTCCCCGCTACCCCCACGCCTGCTGCCAGCCTTCTGTTCCCTGTGCCACAGGAATGAACGATGTCCTTCCTAATAAACCACCATATGTTCCCCGAATCGGACAGGTAGGTAGGGGCTGCTGGCCTTTGTCTGTCTGTCTGTCTGCCTGCCATCTGGCCCTTGGCTGCCACTCAGCATTCCGGGAGCCAGGTTCAGGAGGAGCTGAGCTCGAGGCTGAGGCCCAAGTGAAACATGGACAGGGCCTTCCTATAGGGCACCAAGCCCCAGAGAGGGAGCGCGAAAGAAATCAGGCCATGGCAGGGGTGGTCCCTGGGGTTAGGACAAGACAGGACTCTAGAGCATGGACCCTGGGACTGAGATGGCTCTTGCAAGCCATTGAGCCCCGTCCTAAAGAGGGAGAGTGGCCCGGCCAGCATGGCTCAGTGGTTGAGCTTTGACCTATGAACCAGGAGGTCACGGTTCCATTCTCGGTCAGGGCACATGCCCTGGTTGTGGGCTCGATTCCCAGTAGGGGGTGTGCAGGAGGCAGCTGATCAATGATGCACTCTCATCATTGATGTTTCTCTCTCTCTCCCTCTCCCTTCCTCTCTGAAATCAGTTAAAATATCATTAAAAATAAATGAAAATGAAGAGGGAGAGTGGCCAGAGGGAGCACCTAGCAAGTTTAGGGGCAGGACTCCAGGTCCCCCAGGACAGTTGGGCTGGGGCTGTGGGCGCTCCCCCTGTTCTAATCACCCCGTGGCCCGTGTCCCTGCAGAAAATCACTGTGCTGATAGGCAAGCCCTTCAGCGTCCTGCCTGTGCTCGAGCGGCTCCGGGCAGAGAATAAGTCCACGGTGAGTTTCCCAGCCTGCCCCTGGCTGGCCTTCACCCCTCCCAGTGCCCCTCAGCTTCCCATGGCCTCTGGGCACAGCTCCCGGAGGCCTCCCGCTCAGCCTGGTCCTTCCCCGCAGGTGGAGATGCGCAAAACCTTGACCGACTTCATCCAGCAGGAATTCCAGGGCCTGAAGACCCAGGCGGAGCATCTCCACAACCACCTGCAGCCTGACAGATAGGCCTTGCCCTGCGCAGATCCTGCCCGGCTGGTTCCCAGTCCCATGAGGTCCCCCGAGGCCTGGGGAAGAGGCAGCCCCAGGACCTGGTCCCCAGCTGCCAGGTGCCCAGTGCCGCCTCGGGTTCTCGCCCCTGCACACGGCTGGGCTGGGCTGGGCTGGACTGATGCCTGGAGCTCAGATGGAGTTTTTAGACGGAGTTCCTCATCACCCTTACACCCTTAAAGGGCACCCTCCCCTAGCTGGTGAGCATTCCAGCTCATCTGTGGTTTTTGCAGTTGAACAGGGTTGCTTGGCCACCAAGAGAGGGAAAAGTGTAGGCAGTGGCCTCCTTCTTGCTTCCACGTGTGGTCTCCCAGGGCTGCTGTCTGGAGGGAAAGCAGTTGAAGGGGGGATGGGTGAGTAGATTGGGGCTTACGGAGGGGCCACAAGGCCATTACCTTGAGCTGCTCACCACCTCATCAGGGACAGTCTTTAGCCAGTGCTTCCTTCTGCCCAGGCTTCCAACAGGCCCGGGAGCTTCGGGCAGCCACCCCCACTCCCACCCCTCACTGTAGCAGGAGAGCAGCCCACTGCCACAAGTGGGGCCTGTAGCAAGGGCCCCGGACCTGGCCAGTCGTCCCATGCTGGGGTCCACCAACTTATTCCTTTCTGTGTCCCGGACATCACTCAGGCCCCCTGAGGCTGGATTTCTATGTTTTATAAAAAATAAAGTATCTGTGTTGTGCTGTTTTACCCCTGGCCTCTCAGTACGGTTGGGGATGGGAGGTCACCCGCTGGGCAGGAAGGGACCGTGCAGGAGGCAGCCCATTAATGATTCTCTCTCATCATTGATGGAGCCTCAGAGCCCCGTGCGCAGCCAGAGCACGGCAACAGATGGTGTCGAGCTCCCTGTGTGCACCAGCCACTGACTTCAGTCATCCCCATGACAACCTTGTGGAAGTAGGAATTAATCTCCTTTTGCAAAGGAGCAGAGCAAGTTGGCTGAGCGAGTTGCTTCAAAGCCCATAGCAAAGTAGGGAGAAGCAAGGAGCAACTCGGTCCTCCCCTCTGCTGCCCAGGAGGGAGGAGGCTGCTGTAGGGCCCAGCAGGCCTTCATGAGCAGCATGTGCTATGTTGAGACATGGGAAAGGGCCCAGCCAGTGTGGCTCAGTGGTTGAGTGTCAACCTGTGAATCAGGTCATGCTTCGATTCCCGGTCAAGGCCCATACCCAATTATGGGCTCGATCCCCAGTGTGGGGCATGCAGGAGGCAGCTGATCCACGATTCTCTCTCATTGTTGATGTTACTCTCACTCCCTCTCCCTCTCTGAAATCAATAAGAATATATTAAATTATATATATATATATATATATATATATATATATTTTTTTTTTTTTTTTTTTTTTTTAAAGAGAGAGGTTGGGCCGAGACCTGTTTGGCTCAGTGGATAGAGCGTCAACCTGTGGACTGAAAGATCCTGGGTTCGGTTCTGGTCAAGGGCATGTACCTTGGTTGCAGGCACATCCCCAGTAGGGGGTGTGCAAGAGGCAGCGGATCAATGATTCTCATTGATGTTTCTAACTCTCTATCCCTCTCTCTTTCTCTCTGTAAAAAATCAATAAAAAATATTTTTTTTAAAAATAAATAAATAAAAGAGAGAGGTTGGGACCATGGGTGGGAATAGCCGATCCAGGGTGGTGGCGCTCCTGGCAGAAGCAGAAAGCAAATCCTCTCTAGAGAAAAGCAAGCTCTAGATGGTTTGGCTCAGTGGATAGAGTGTCAGCCTGCAGACTCAAGGGTCCCAGGTTCGATTCTGGTCAAGGGCATGTACCTTGGTTGTGGGCACATCCCCAGGGAATGTCCAGGAGGCAGCTAATTGCTGTTTCTCTTTCATTGATGTTTCTAACTCTATCCCTCTCCCTTCCTCTCTGTAAAAAAAAATCAATAAAAGCTGAATCCGGTTTGGCTCAGTGGATAGAGCGTCGTCCTGCAGAATGAAGGGTCCCAGGCTTGATTCCAGTCAAGGGCATGTACCTTGGTTGTGGGCACTTGACCAGAATCAAACCTGGGACCCTTCAGTTCGAAGGTGGATGCTCTATCCACTGAGCCAAACTGGTTAGGGCAAGAAGAGAAGATTTAAAGATGGTCAGAACTGCAACTGTGTAGTTTTAAACAAAAAGCTTTTTAAATTACCAGAAGGGGGGAAAAATCACTTTAGTGTAAAAAAAGGAAACACTTGTAAATAAATATAGATAAAAACAGACAGTTGGTCAGTATGCATGTATACGTGCAAGTGTAACATATACTGTGATAGCATGTTCCATATTTTCATCTTATGTTTCAACTACATACTAATTTCCATAATTTTGTTTTGCATGTTTTTATTTTTAATTTAATTTTTTTAAGAATTTACTTTCTTTTAAAAATATATTTTTTTTATTGATTTCAGAGAGGAAGAGAGAGGGAGAGATAGGAACATCAATGATGAGAGAATCATCAATTGGCTTCCTCCTATATGGCCCCTACTGGAGACCCAGGCATGTGCCTTGACCCGGAATCGAACCGTGACCTCCTGGTTTATAGGTCAATGCTACATCATTAAGTCATGATGGCCAGCCCCAAGGAAGTTTTCTATCCTCATCTTACCTGCTTCCTGGCATCAGTGGACACTGACTTTGTTCATCATAGAGTCCTTGAAACCAAGCTTCTTCCTGGGTTTTCCCCTCCTCTTTGATGCTTCTCCCATTTCTCTTCTGGACCTTCCTCCCTGCTCATTGTACATGGAGCATGTCAAACTTGAAGGCTAACATGGGTCAAATAAACAAGGTTGAAGTGTATGCGGGCCACAAAAAACACACACACAAAGCTTCCATTTTCATAGAAATGTAGGTTTATTTTGATAGAGATATGCTGAATACAAAGGACTGAAATAAATGAGTCATCACTGACATAAAATATCAGAACATTTTGCTGAAACCAGTTTGGCTCAATGGGTAGAGCTTCGGCTTGGGGACTGAAGGGTCCTGGGTTCGATTCAGGTCAAGGGCATGTACCTTGGTTGCGGGCATATCCTCAGTAGGGGGTGTGCAAGAGGCAGCTGATCAATGACTCTCTCTCATCGACGTTTCTAGCTCTCTATCTCCCTTACTCTCTGTGAAAAATCAATAAAATATATTTTTAAAATATCAGAACATTTTAATAAAAATTAATATTTTTTCTTGAACATTCACTTACCAGACACTGAATAACTGCACAAATTAATAAATGTCACACAAATAAACCTATTTTTCTTATTCTCCGAAAGCGAAATATTTCCTGTTGTGCACACCAAACAAGTCAGTCCAAGACTAATGACGTGGCCATGGGCTGCTTAACTATTTGCTGCTGGTATGAGTGGAGAGAAATGGTGTGCCTACGCATTAGGGAAATGAATGCAAAACGATTATAGTTGCCTCTTGCACACCCGCTACTGGAAATGTGCCCGCAACCAAGGTACATGCCCCTGACCAGAATCGATCCTGGGACTTTTCAGTCCACAGGCTGAAGCTCTAGCCACTGAGCCAAACCAGTTTCGGCTGCAATTTTTTTTTTTTTCATAGAACAGACTTTATTACTCAGAGAACATTTTAGTGCTGGTAACCCTACCCAAGTAGCAGGGATGCCCCCCAGGAGAGGAGCCCTGAAATTATGACACTGAAAGCTCATGTAGCATTTCTGGCACATCTGCCATCCAAGATATATATGCACACACACCTCATCTTTACTCTGGAATTAAGCAAATCCTCCCCAGGGAGGGGGCAGGCATCTCTAGGTTTATTGCCATAAATGTAAGCTAAAAGCAAATCTCTAGAAAGATGAAGGGAATTTTTAATGATTTTGGAAAGTCTCCAGGAAGGGAGGCTTACATTTATCATAGCTTATCAATTTTCTTTGCTAAGAAGGCCTTAGCCCTAGCCGGTTTGGCTCAGTGGATAAAGCGTCAGCCTGCAGATTGAAGGGTCCCAGATTCGATTCTGGTCAAGGGCACGTAATTTGGGTGCAAGGCTTGACCCTCATCCTAGGCCTGGTTGCCAGAGGCAACCAACTGAGATGCGTCTCTCACATCGATGTTTCTCTTTCTCTGTCTCTCCCCCTCCCTTTAAAAATCAATGAAAAAATAGTCTCAGATGAGGATTAAAAAAAAAAAAAGCCCTAGCTGGTTTGTTCTGGTGAATAGAGTGCTGGCCTATGGACTGAAGGGTCCTGGGTTCGATTCCTGTCAAGGGCATGTGCCTCGCTTGCAGGCTCCTCCCCAGCCCGGGCCCTGGTCTGGGCTCACGCAGGAGGCAACCGATCGATGTGTCTCTCTCACATTGATATTTCTGTCTTTCCCTCTCCCTAAAGAACCAATGAAAAAATGTCCTCAGTTGAGGAAAAAAAAATAAAATAAAAGCCCCAACGGTGCAGGGAACACCAAGAAATCCAGGGAGAATTGTCTCAACACATGGTAATATAAATAGGGGATATTTAATGTGAAAATTACTAAGTAATAATAAAAGAGTAACTTTATTTATTTTTATCTTTTCTAAAATCCTGTTTTTCATTTTTTAATTTTTTACTGATTAAGGCATATCTTCGTAGACAGCAGCCTAGGTTTGGCTCAGTGGATAGCGTGTCAGCCTGGGGACTGACAGGACCTGGGTTCAATTTCGGTCAAGGGCACATATCTTTTTTTTTTTTTTTAAATATATTTTATTGATTTTTTACAGAGAGGAAGGGAGAGAGATAGAGAGCCAGAAACGTCGATGAGAGAGAAACATCCACCAGCCGCCTCCTGCACACCCCCCACCGGGGATGTGCCCGCAACCAACATACATACCCTTGACCGGAATCGAACCCGGGACCTTTCAGTCCACAGACCGACGCTCTACCACTGAGCCAAACCGGTTTCGGCAAGGGCACATATCTTGGTTACATGCAGGAGGCAGTCAATCAGTGAGATTCTCTCTCATCATTGATGTTTCTCTCTCCCTCTCCCTCTCTGAAATCAATATAAATATATATTTTAAAATGTACTTCCAGCCCTAACCGGTTTGGCTCAGTGGATAGAGCGCCTGCCTGCGGACTCAAAGGTCCCAGGTTCTATTCCGGTCAAGGGCATGTACCAAGGGCCGCTGATTGATGTTTCTCTCTCATTGATGTTTCTAACTCTCTCCCTTCCTCTCTGTAAAAAAAATCAATAAAAAAAATATTTTAAAAAAATGTACTTCCAGACCTTTGGTTGGTATAGAAGTTCAATGACTGGTTCATCCAGTCACCAGACCTGCAGAAACAACTCTTTGGAGAGCAAGCAAGCTGTGGTTGATGGGTGGGCACCCAGGCTGCCGGGCAGGCACCGCTAGAACTGGGAGCTGGAGAGGCCCTCTTCCGCTGGCACTCAGCACACTCCTGTGCACAGTTTGAGCCAGAGTGTCTTTGAGTGGCCAGAGTGGCTCTGGGTGGCCAGCCCCACAGGACCTTCGGCATGTGCGCTTCCAGGGCTGAGGGCTGAGGAGATGGCGAGGGAAGCAGTGGCCTGCGCTGGGGTGCAGACTAGAGTTGCCTGGGACCCTTGTACTCCCGGCTGCTGTGTGAGCTGAAAGCTGAAGACAGTGTGGTGAAAACTCTGACTGGCAGGCTTGGCACTGAAGAAAATCATGCAGGTGAGCAGCAAAGAGAGCTTTTCCTTTCTTTCTTTCTTTTTTTTTTTTTTTTTTTTTTTTTTTTTTAAATATATTTTATTGATTTTTTACAGAGAGGAAGGGAGAGAGATACAGAGTTAGAAACATCGATGAGAAAGAGTCATCGATCAGCTGCCTCTTGCACACCCCCTACTGGGGATATGCCCGCAACCAAGGTACATGCCCTTGACCAGAATCGAACCCGGGACCCTTCAGTCCCCAAGCCGACGCTCTATCCATTGAGCCAAACTGGTCCCGGCTTCTTTCTTTCTTTTTAATAATATATTTTTATTGATTTAAGAGAGGGAGAGGGAGAGATAGAAACATCAATGACGAGAAAGAATCATTGATCGGGTGCCTCCTGCATGCCCCACACTGGGGATCGAGCCTAAAACCCAGGTATGTGCCCTTGACTAGAATCAAACCTGGGACCTTTCAGTCTACAGGCCGATGCTCTATCCACTGAGCAAAACCAGCTAGGGCAGAGCTTTTCCTTTTTAATGTTATCCCCTGTCCTCTGCAGACAAAGCTTGTATCGCTCTTGCGGTGCAGAAGGAAAGTTTGAATGTGTACTAATACTAGTACAGTTGCCACTTTTTAGCAACTTTTGGAACTCCCGTGCGCACAGATCATTCCAACAGCTCTGCTACATTGTTGCGGCTCCCTCAAAGAAAGTACCTCAAGGCTTATCTCGGGCACGTCTGAATGGCTGGCATCACCCCTCTTGCACAACTCAGGAACGGCCTGATGGAAGCGATGCACAGGGCAAAGTATGGGGAAGGGGCGCGGCGCCCCCGAGCCCCTTCTCCCAGCCCCCCAGACACCCCACTCTCCCCGGTCTCCACTGCCGCTTGAAATTTGAAGCAGAAGATGAAACCTGGGCCAAGCCTTGGGCGTGGGGACCTGTGGAGCGGAGCCCGCCCCGTCCAGCCTGTCCTATCCTGTCAGTGCCAGCTGTACCTACTGGGTGGCAGTGAAACTGACAGAGCTCCTCCAGGCTGTCCCAGCCCCGCAAGGAGCGTGCGCGCCGGAGAAGCGATTGGCCAATCAGGGCACAGGAGCGGCGGTGAGTGGCAGGCGCTTCCTTCAATCTTTTGAAGCCCTCACCCCGGGCCTGCGTCCTGGCCAATGGGCGCGCGGGGCGGAGCCCGGGCGGGGGCGACGGTCACCTGATCTGCGGCGGCGGCGGCGGCGGTGGCCGAGGCCGAGGTGACTGAAGCTGTGATGGCGGCGACAGCGGCGGCTCCGGGGCGGGCGGGGACGCTGAGGGCCCCAGCGTTTTGTCAAATGAAGTGGCTGCCGGTGCTGCTGGCGGCGGCGGCGGCGGTGGCAGAGCAGCAGGTGCCGCTGGTGCTGTGGTCAAGCGATCGGTGAGCGGGGCGGTTGGCTGGGGCGGGCTGCGCGGCGCCCCGTGGCGGTTGGGGAGCCCTCGCTCTGCTCCTGGGCTGTTCTCGGCGAGAAGCTGCGAGGCCTAGAGGGGACTGTCCCTTGCTTGGCGGCCTACGGCGAATCGGCCGGATCGGAACCTCCGGGACCCACACATCAAACTGGGAGCCCGTGGGTTTCGGATCGTAAGCCTTGCGTCCCCACTTGACAGCACCTTTTCTGTCCACAGGGACTTGTGGGTTCCTGCGGCCGACAACCATGAGGGCCACATCACCAGCGACATGCAGCTCTCGACTTACTTAGACCCCGCCCTGGAGCTGGGCCCCCGCAACGTGCTGCTGTTCCTGCAGGACAAGGTGCGCCTGTCCCAGCCCTCTGTCCCTCAGTCATCAGGAGGCAGGCGGGCCCCTCCCCCCAGGATAAGGAAACCCCTTCCCCAAGGGAAGCTTCAGTGACCTTGTCCCAACTGCAGGGAGGTGTGGCTCTTCTCTTGGGAAGGCCCGTCGGAGAAGGCTCAGTGGGACTAGAGTGAGGGCCCAGAAATGGCACCAACTTGATTGGGGGGAGAAAGTGGTCAGAGGCCGGAAGTCTACAGAGTACCATGGACTTGTCTGACCTGCTCTATATGGTGGGGCTGATTGTTGGCGGATGAGAAGACAGATGCCCAAGGAGGGGAAGTGACTGGCTCAAGGTCACACAGCTAATGGGTGGCTAAGTTGTGATTCTAGTGGTAATGATCATAATAGAGAGAGAGAGAAAAACGACCACTTACTGAGTGCTTCATGGGCACTGTGCTAAGCTGATGTCATTGTTTTGGTTTTACTATCAAGGAAACTAAGGCTTGTGGAGGTGCAGTGATTGGCTGGGTTGTGCACACCACAGCTGGTTCCAGCCTGAGTCTGTCAGAACCCTACCTGCACTCCTCCCCTCTCCCAGGCCAGTTTGTGCTCATAACTGGGTTTGTGCTCCCTCTCTTCCAGATCTCTCTGCCTCCAACTAGGCACTCAGCCCATGAAAAGACTCGAGGGCACTGTAGGTTTGGAGTTTGGGAAGTGATCAAGCTTCTGCTTGTCCCTTCCTTGTATGGTTCATTCCCCTCATGGTCTTGCTCCATCATTGTGGGTAGCCTGTGGCGGGCATGCGCTCCTGTAGCCTTTCCAGGAGGCGGTAATTAATGTAGTCAGACTGGAACTCAATTCTAGTTCTACTACTTCCTGGCCTTTGGTCTGCAAATGCCTGTTTCTGCATCGGTAAAATTCAGATACCGCCTCATAAGAATTGTGAGGAGCAATTCTGAAAATCCACGGAACACACCTCGCTGGATCCCTGTCTGATGGCATTCACCCATGTAGCAAATATGAACTATCTACTCTGTGCCAGTTATTAAGTGTTGGGGACATAGCAACGAGCAGAATAACCCGAGCCCCTACCCTGAGGAAGCTGATAGTCATGGGAGCATGACAAGTCAATGCTGAGTTCTTACAATATGCCATCATGTCAATGCTATTGTGTTTAGAGAAGAAAGAAACGGGCTAACCCTATTGTGGTGTGCACAAATGCAGCCAATCATTGCCAGAGGGACTGGCAAGCCTATTTAAGGGAAAGCTGACCAGGCAAGGCTCACTGAGCAGAGACCTGAATGGAGGTCCCTACTGAGCCTGGGAGCTACCTGGCCGAGGACGTTTCTGGAAGAAGGTACAGCATGTGCTAAGGCCCTGGGCAAGACAGAAGAGCTGCTGTCGCTGGAGTATACAGTAGTGAGTGAGAGTAAGGGGGAAGGGATGGTTAGGCAGGCACCCAGGAGATGAGGAGGAAAAAGGTTGGTTGTAGTTCTAAACTAAGGTGACTGAGATGTCCCGGTTTTGGCGGGACCGTCCCGATTTTTAGCAACGATTCTTCCCAAAAATCGGGACGGTCCCGCCAAAAGCGGGACGTCTGATCACCTTATTCTAAATGAAGCCTCGGGTGACTTCAAAGCAGGAGGTGCCGCAAGGAGGAAGAGAGAGTGGTGGTTTCTGGGCTTTGCGAAGGAGAGCCCAGGTGTCCAAACAAGGTCAGGATTCCTGCCCAGGAGGGAGAGGAAGCTGGCCAAGTGTGTATACTAAACAGAAGCTGATTAAAATCGCCTCTGGCCCTGATGGGGAAAAGCCGGAGAAAGCAGGGCGTTGGGGTGGAGGGGAAGGAGTTGAAGGGCATCTCTAGGTTGGAGAGGAAAAGGGGTGTGCTTCCAGTTACTGTGGTCTGGAGGCCTCAGAAGACTTTCAGTGCTTTCTCCAGCATGTTCGAGATCTTCACCTGTTTCTCCCCTTCCACCAAAACCAGGTGAGGAGGGGGACTTCTCACACTCCTTTACAAAGGTGCCATCCATGCCCAGCCAGTATGGCTCAATGGATGAGCATCAACCTATGAACCAGGAGGTCATGGTTCGATTGCTGGTCAGGGCACTTGCCCAGGTTGCGGGCTCCATCCCCAATGGAGGTGTGTGCAGGAGGCAGCCGATCGATGATTCTCATCATTGATGTTTCTCTCTCTCTCCCTCTCCCTTCCTCTGTGAAATGAAAAATATGTTTTAAAAAAGTCCTGTTGGTTCTAGCTGTTGCAACTGGTATACAGGTTCTCCTTTTTTTTTTTTTTTTTTTTTTTTAACTTTCCTTGAGGGGGGTGGGCATGCAGTAAATGCTTCTAACTGCCACAACCCTCCCCCCCCCCACTAGCTTCCCTTTTCCTTACCCAGTTCCTGTTGTCGAAGGCAGGCAGCTGACTCTTACTCCTGAAGTTACCACAAGTCAGCTGCCCGCACATATCCTCCCAACCCCATGACTGCCTTCCATGTTTTCTCACCCTCACCCTGCCAGGAGGGTGCTACAGAAAAGAAAGAGCCCTATCCCAGTGCTCGGCAAACTCATTAGTAACAGAGCCAAATATCAACAGTACGATTGAAATTTCTTTCTTTTTTTAAAAATATATTTTATTAATTTTTCACAGAGAGGAAGAGAGAGGGATAGAGCGTTAGAAACATCGATGAGAGGGAATCATCGACCAGCTGCCTCTTGCACACCCCTTACTGGGGATGTGCCCGCAACCAGGATACATGTCCTTGACAGGAATCGAACCCGGTGCCCTTCAGTCCACAGGCCGACGCTCTATCCATTGAGCCAAACCGGGCTCAGCTGAAATTTCTTTTGAGAGCCACATTTTTAAAACTTAAACTTTTTCTAGAGCCCTAACTGGATAGGCTCAGTGGATAGAGTGTCAGCCTGTGGACTGAAGGGTCCCATGTTTGATTTTGGTCAAGGGCACGCAGTATGGTTGCAGGCTACTCCCGGGGCCAGGTCCAGGTCTGGGCGAATGTAGGAAGCAACCAATCGATATGTTTCTCACACATCGATGTTTCTCTCTGTCTTTTCCTCTCTCTTTCACTCTCTTTAAAAAAACACAAAACTCGCCGAAACCGGTTTGGCTCAATGGATAGAGCATCGGCCTGCGGACTGAAAGGTCCCAGGTTCGATTCTGGCCAAGGGCATGTACCTTGGTTGCGGGCACATCCCCAGTAGGGGTTATGCAAGAGGTAGATAATAGATGATTCTCCCTCATTGATGTTTCTAACTCTCTATCCCTCTCTCTTCCTCTCTGTAAAAAATCAATAAAATATATTTTAAAAAAAACACACAAAAAAAAACACACCACAAAACTTGCCCTAGTTGATAGAGCATTGGCCTGCCCACTAAAGGGTCCCAGGTTCCATTCCTAGCAAGGACACATGCCCTGGTTGCAGACTGCATCCCTATTAGGGGGTGTGCAGGAGGCAGCTGATCAGTGATTCTCTCATCATTGGTGTTTCTATCTCTCTCTCCCTCTCCCTTCTTCTCTGAAATCAATAAAATATATATTTTTAAAAACCTCAATGGAAAAATATCCTCAGTTGAGAATAAAAAATATACATATATATATCCTATATAATAAAAGCCTAATGTGCAAATTGCCCCCTTGGATAGTCATTAGACCAGGAGTTGGACCAGGATACTGGGAGTTGGACTGCTCACTGTGATGTGTGGTGACCACCAGGGGGCAGCACAGAACATGGCCGGTGTTGGTGGGGGGGTAACAGGGACAGGGACAGAGGAGGTATGGTGAGAATGCAGGGTATCCGCTGAGCTGGCTTTCACTCCGTGGATGCCAGGGCTTGCATGCCCCAGGTGCCAGGCACCCCTGAGGAGCCTGCTCTACACCTGTGCGGCCTCTTCCTGGTGAGCTGGGCTGCAGCCACTGGGACCACAAGGGCCTGTTGGGTTCCCCATGGGTTCGCACAGGAACTGGTCTGCGAGGCCAGCTGGGAGAGAGTGCACTGCCTGCTTGGCTTCTGTGAGAGGCCCACGCTGTGCCCATGGCATCTTTGTGTGGGGACTTGGGCACTGTGACTTAGGCAGAGGAGGGCACATGGGGGCCTGAGGGCCCAGGTGCTGCCCAGGGCCCAGACGTCAGTGAGACCTGCCCTTCCACGCGAGACGCTTGCACTTCGATCACTGTGGGGAGCGGGCCTAAGCTGGCAGTCGGACATCCCCCAAGGTCTCCCAGACTGAGAGGGCCCAGCTGGACTGAGCGACTTCCACCAAGTGCACGAATTTTGTGCACTGGGCCTCTAATATATGAAAGAACCTTCTATCCCCACCCCCCACCCCAAACTTGCCCTTGCTCGCTTTTCTGACCAGACCAAATCTGACTCTAAGTGAGATTTTGCTGGCCCTGCAAATGCACGGGGAAGGGGTCTGCCCCCTGCCCTGGCCACTTCTGAGGCTGTCTTCCTTGCTTCCTTACTAGCTGAGCATTGAGGACTTCACGGCATATGGTGGTGTGTTTGGAAACAAGCAGGACAGCACCTTTTCTAACCTGGAGGTAAGAGTCCTCTCCCAGCTGCGGGCATGGGGGCTGTCCCACCCCCACTCCATAGCACACTAAAGAACTGTTTCACGAACCTCAGTGTGGGGCGTGCTCGAGGCAGTTGATCAGTGACCCTCTCTAATTGATGTTTCTATCTCTCTATCCCGCTCCCTTCCTCTCTCTAAAAATAAAACAAATAAAAAACAGCCCTGGCTGGCATGGCTCAGTGGCTAGAGTGTCAGCCTGCACACCAGAGGGTTGCAGGTTCGATTCCCAGTTAAGGGCATGTACCTGGTTGCAGGTTCAATCCCCACCCCATCAGGGTGTGTGCGGGAAGCAACCAATTGATGTGTCTCTTTCTACATCTCTCTTTCTCTCCATCCCTACTCTCTCCCTTCCATTCTCTCTAAAAATCAATGGGAAAAAATATCCTCACTCCTCAGGTGAGGATTAAAAAAAAAAGAGTAAAAAAATTTTTTAAAAATCCTACCTGGTTCGGTCAATGGATAAAGTACCGAACCATGGACTGAAGGGTCCTGGGTTCGATTCCAATCAAAAGGCACGTAACTTGGTTGCAGGTTCAATCCTTGACCCATGCAGGAGGCAACCAATCTATGTGTATCTTTCCCATCGATGTTTCTCTCTGTCTCTCCCAATCCTTTCTACTCTCTAAAAGTCAATGGAAAAATATTCTCGGGTGAGGGGTAAGCAAAAAACAAAACACAAAAGCACACACACAACCTGTTTCCTTAGGAACCAGAGCTGCTGGCTTTGGGGGTAGAAAGGCATAAGTGTCAGGGGCCAGGGGTGCGGGGCATTTTCCTTCTGACCCGAATGGGACTCAATCCTGTGGGTGTGGGTGCGGCTTGCAGGGGAGGGCTGCCAGAGCGGTGTGAGGGGCTGGCTCAGGCCAGGTCCCTTTTGCTAACTCATCCTCCACGTCTCCTTTGTCCCCAGAATGCCCTGGACTTGGCCCCGTCCTCTCTCGTGCTTCCTGCTGTTGACTGGTATGCAGTGAGCACTCTGACCACGTACCTGCAGGAGAAGCTGGGGGCTAGCCCCTTGCATGTGGACCTGGCAACCCTTCGGGAGCTGAAGCTCAACGCCAGCCTCCCGGCCCTGCTGCTCATCCGCTTGCCCTACACAGCCAGGTACGGTCCGGCCTCCAGCCCAGGGCTCTGGGCTCTGCTAGCACAACCCAGTCAACGATGACAGTCCTTCCTGTCAGAACCCTGAAGCCCTTCCAGAAGGTGCCCTGTATCTCCAGAAGAGACCAGAAGGGCCTCTGGCCGGGCTGTGATTCACAAGTTAGTGCCCTGCACTGAACTGGGCCTCCAGAGACAAGGTGGACGTAGGCTCTGGTGGTAGGGCACCAACTCGCCTAGCCAGGACCCATTCACACAGCAGGTGGCAGGGACAGGAGAGGGACCGTGAAGTGGGGGGTGGAGGGAGGGGCAAGGGATTCCAGGCAGGGCCTTGAGGTGAGCAAAAATGTAGACGGATCCCAGCTGGTGTGGCTCAGTGGTGGAGCGTCGACCTATGAACCAGGAGGTCACAGTTCCATTCCTGGTCAGGGCACATGACCGGGTTGCGGGCTCCGTCCTCAGTGTGGGGATGTATTGTAGGCAGCTGTTCAATGATTCTCTCTCATCACTGATGTTTCTCTCTCTCCCTCTTCCTTCCTCTCTGAAATCAATAAAAGTATATATATTGGGGGGGGGGGGGGAAGATGGAGGGAGGGTGGCTCCCAGAGGCTCATGGGGCTCATGGGGAAGGATGCTGGCATTGAGTGGAGGACACACTGGGGGAGCTATTTGGACTGTGGGGTTCTAACGCTCTGTCTTTTCCATAGCTCGGGTCTGATGGCACCACGGGAAGTCCTCACAGGCAATGGTGAGTGGGTCAGGAAGGGAGCACGATCTCCAGTCCTCCCCATCCCTCCCTGCAGAGTGGTCCTCCGCTCCTTGGCTCCTCCCCCCCCGCCCCCAGCGTGGCTTCCTGCTTCTTGGAGCAGCTGGCAGCTGATCAGGGAAATGCTGGCCCTCGGGTCTCATCCGCTAGGCCTGCCTCGTGGAGATTTGGGGATGTCTAAGCGTCCTCTCTGCGGGAGCCTGGGAGCCAGTTTCCACGGAGGCAGCCTGAATCCTTTAGTGTGGGTTTAAGAGACCAGCAGCATTTCAAAAATCAGTTCCGAACACTTGTCTTCTTCTTTTTTAATCTTTCTGTATTGATTTCAGAGCGGAAGGGAGAGAGAGACAGAAACATCAGCGATGAGAGCGAATCATTGATCAGCTGCCTCCTGTATGCCCCACACTGGAGATCTAGCCTGCAACCCAGGCACATGCCCTGACTGGGAATCGAACCCTGACCTCCTGGTTCCTAGGTCGATGCCCAACCACTGAGCCACACTGGCCAGGCATCACTTGTCTTCTTTTTGCGATAAGGGACAGTCATTCCCATTGGCAAGGTCACTGGAAACCTTCCACTGGGGGGGTTCGAAGTTGCATATACCTTTGTGTTTTCTTGTTTCCTTTAGTTAGGCCTGGGCATCAGGGAGCTGACACTGGAGGCCGCAGGTGGCCCAGGGGAGGCTGGGGGTGGGCAGGATGAACAGCAGCCACTGTCAGGGACCCTGAATGGAAACTGCAAACACTGTTGAGGGCTGACGGGATCCGACTGACTCATCAAAGGTCCCAGTTGGTTTCTGGGGGCGGGAGGACGTCACAGTGCAGACCCCTGGGGTCGCCACCTCAGTGAAAGGGTCTCCCTGAGCAGGCGGTGGGAAGCGTTGCCCTCGGTGTCCACCTGTGACCGGTTCTCTGCTCTCCCCGTTGCCCCGCAGATGAGGTGATTGGGCAGGTGCTGAGCATGCTCAAGTCGGAAGATGTCCCGTACACAGCGGCGCTCACAGCGGTCCGCCCTTCCAGGGTATGTGCCCTGCCGCAGGGGCTCTGGGAGTGGGGGCAGAGGCCACGCGATGCATGGGCCTGGAGGGGGGTGTGGCTCCGATGGCCTCAGTGGGGGCCAGCTTCTCCCCTGGGCCCATGTCAGGGGGGACGAATACAAACCTGCTTATTCCTGCCAGCTGCAGGTTTCTGACCGCCCTGCCAGTCTTCCGGGCTGGCAAATGCTCAATTGAGTCCAGATGTTCCCTAATTGGTGGGACTAGGACCATCCCCGAGGTTTAGGGGCCAGCCGGAGAGAGCTTCCCGGAGGAAAGGCCTCTGAGTACGACCGGTGGGACCACAGATGGGGGAGAGGGCCAGCGAGGGCAGGCCACTTGGTCCGGGCCCGCTCCCAGGGCCGCTGAGAGAAGGCTTGTGGGCTGTCTCTGCAGGTGGCCCGCGATGCAGCCCTGGTGGCCGGGGGGCTAGGCCGGCAGCTGCTGCAAACGACGCCCAAACAGCCCGTGTCTGTTGTGATCCACCCTCCTGTGAGCTATAACGACACTGTGCCCCGGATCCTGTTCTGGGCCCAGAATTTCTCAGTGGCTTATAGGGACAGCTGGGAAGATCTGACCGGCAGGACCTTTGACGCCCCATCTCTCAATATGACCGGCTCCTTCTGGAATGACTCCGTCGCCAGGTGAGGGCAAAGGACCTGTCACTTGGGGTGGGTATATGTGCCGGTGGTGTGTGTTCACCATGGGACTGCTGGGGGGGGTTGCTATTGGAGGGCCCTTGAGGTGGGGGTTGCTCAGAGTTCTGCTCCCCTATGCCTTCTACTCCCCAGTCAGCTAGGAACCTGACGCCTCCCCCTTGAGCGGCCTCAAGGTGACCGCACTGTGGTGCATACCATGCCCGAGCAAGTTCTGGGGTCCCCATACCTTCCCTGTGCAGTGAGAGAGATCATCCTCACTCCCAAAACCCAACCTGGGCACCTCAACAACCCCAAGGGGAGGGTCTTAAAGGAGGAGGGGCAGTGGGTTCAGGGGAGCCAGAGGAAGGAGCCCTCAGCTGGAGGTGGGGGACCCGCATGCTGGTTCCTGACCTAGAATATGACAGGGCCTCAGTTTTCCCATCTGTCAAATGGGGGCATTGCCTCTTCAGGTGGCTGCAAGGACCCAGGCAGCTTCCATAGGAGCAGACTTGAGCAACGTGGTCTAAGATGCTCAAGGCCCTTTCAGAGCCTGACTTGCCTCTCACTCTGGCCCTACAGGCTTTCACTGACCTATGAACAACTCTTTGGTGCCACGGTGACGTTTAAGTGAGTCCGAGGGGCGGTGGAGGTGTGGGTGGACTGGTGTGGCTCTGGCTTCCTCAGCTACCTGACGCCCCTGTGGTCTCCCTCAGGTTCACTCTGGTGAACCGCTTCTATCCAGTGTCGGCCCGGCACTGGTTTACCATGGAGCGCCTGGAAATCCACAGCAATGGCTCTGTGGCCTACTTCAACGTTTCCCAGATCACAGGGCCCAGCATCTACTCCTTCCACTGCCAGTACGTCAGCAGTCTTAGCAGCCAGGGCAGCATCCTTGTGCCTGACACGCAGCCCTTCCTCTGGCAGATGACGCTTGAGGATTTCCAGGTAGGAAGCAGGGAGGAGCCCAGCCTGGAAGTAGCAGGGTCTGGGTAGAGGGGAGGAAGCAGAGACCTGAAGTCTTAAAAAAAAAAAAAAAAAAAAAAAAAAAAAAAATATATATATATATATATATATATATATATATATATCCTATATAATAAAAGGCTAATATGCAAATTGTCCCCTCAATTGGGAGTTTGACGGGGGTGGGGGGGTTAGGGCCAGCCCACCAACCTCGCGGCCCCTCAGCTGGCCCAATCAGCTCTGATGGGGGCAGGCCAGCCAGACCCAACCTGTGCATGAATTCATGCACTGGGTCTTTAATATTTATATAAAATATATTCTTTTAATATATATATATAAATATTTTTTAATTGATTTTTTACAGAGAGGAAGAGAGAGATTTAGAAACATCAATGAGAGACATTGATCAGCTGCCTCCTGCACACCCCTTAATGGGGATGTGCCTGCAACCAAGGTACATGCCCTTGACCAGAATCGAACCAGGGACCTTTCAGTCCACAGGCCGACGCTCCATCCACTGAGCCAAACCGGTTCAGGCTATAAAATATATTCTTATTGATTTCATAGAGGAAGGGAGAGAAAGAGAGAGAAGCATCAATGATGAGAGAGAATGATGAGAGAGAATCATTGATTGGCTGCCTCCCGCTCATCCCTGGGGATCGAGCCCGCAACCTGGGCATGTGCCTTGACTGGGAATCGAACCATGACCCCCTGGTTCATAGGTCAGTGCTCAACCACTGAGCCACGCCAGGTTGATACCCTTTGGGCTTGGGCTCAGGAATGTAGTCGAGAGCCCAGGAATGTAGTCGAGAGCCCTGTCCCCACGATGCTTCCTTCCCACTGACTTGGGAACCTCAGCCCTTACTGGGCCTCCCTCTCCGTGGGGCCACGCGGTCCTTTCTGTCCCCCAGATCCAGGCCTTCAACGTGACAGGCGAGCAGTTCTCCTACGCCACTGACTGCGCGGGCTTCTTCTCCCCGGCCATCTGGATGGGGCTGCTCACCTCCTTGTTCATGCTCTTCATCTTCACCTACGGCCTGCACATGATCCTCAGCCTCAAGACCATGGACCGCTTTGATGACCACAAGGGCCCCACCATCACTTTGACCCAGATTGTGTGACCCTGTGCCTGCTGGGGGTTAAGGGTGTGATGGTGTCCAGGTTGTCACTTTCTCACCTCGAGGCATGCTGGACCGAAGGACTTCCTTCTCTTCCTACCGTAGCATGAACCCCCAACTCCCCTCAGCCTGTTTTGCTCCTATTCAACCCTGTGAGGGGCTTCCCTCAGGCTGCCCCCCCCTCTTCGCCCCCCATCTCTATCAACAGGTGTACATATTCTGCGTAGATAGTAGACAAATCTCCCAGGATTGGTGATTATAAAGGGAGGGGACATGAATTCCAGAGCCTCTCTTACTTCCCCCCTCTCTCCTTATTTATTTTCATATCTCCACCTTCACCCCTTGCTGTTTATAGTGCTTTTGTGTAGCCAGTGCTTTGTCGGGTTCCCTGCAGCAACCAGGAGCTGGATATTCCCTGAGTTGGGGGGATGGGGTGGGGTCAAAGTACCATTTAACCCTCCTGCTTGGCTAGTGTTGTTTTCGGTGATGTGCTTCCCGTACGCAGTGCATGGGTTTATTCTTTGTGGCCTGAGAAGGAAGGGACATCCACGGCAGGTGGGCTGGGCGCGCTCACTGGGTTTCTGGCAGGCTTGGTGGGTTTCCTTCCTAATAAAATAAAGATGGGTCACCGTGCTTCGGCCTCCTGTCGCTCATTTCTGCACTGGACACTCGGGATGTGCTTGGCTGAGGGCTTCCGGGGAGGCGCCCAGGTGTAGCTGTAGCCAAATGAGGTTGGGTTGGGGGGAGGAGGGGGGACGGGAAGGGCTGCAGGAGCCCGGGAGGAAGATGCAGAGGGTCTTTAGCAAGCTGGACCCCCGAGTAGCTAGTGCAGGGAGGGGGCTGCAGTGCACCTGCTGGAAGGGCCAGGGCGATCGGAGCCTGGAAATGACAGCTGTGACAATGGCAGCCCTCCAGTCCCCCGGGGACCCGGGCTGCGGCAGGGGTGTGTGCTGGACCGCGCTGAGCATCCCACAGGGCGGGGCCGCGCCCCGGCTCCGGCGCACGGATCCCCATCCCCGGTCGCAGCACCGCCGCCGGCAGCCCCGCCCGCCCCGCCCCGCTCCCCTCCCTCCGGGGCTTTCGGGGAGCGGCGCCGCCCCGCGGAGCCCGTGCCGGTGCCGAGGCCAGGGCCCCGGCAGCCCTCCCGGGAGGGGACCCGGGGAGGCGGGGCCCCCCGCCGTGCGCGGCGGAGCACGGGGAGGGACGGACTCTTTGACGCGGCGGAGGGATCAGGGGGCGGGGGGGGGGGGGGCGGCTGCCGCGCCGCCATCTTTGGTCCAGTGCGGCGGCAGCGGCGGCGGCGGTGGTGAAGCAGGAGGAGGAGCCCCCGGCGCTGGCACCCAGGCCTGACCATGGATGAAGAATACGATGTGATCGTGCTGGGCACCGGCCTCACCGTAAGTGCGGCCCCGGGCGCCCGGAGCCCCGCATCGCCCCCTCCATCCTCCCCGCAGTGCTGCCGCCCCCGACCCCATCCTGTCACTGCCATCAGCGGCGCTGCCCGCCCCGGCTGGCTCTCTGGTCCCCGAAAAAAAAACAGCCCCGTGCCCATCCCCGCGATGTCGCCTCTACCCACTGCCGTGGCTCCGTCTCTAAGAAATGGCCCCCGTTTTTCCTGCCCCTTCAACTCCCCGGGCCCCGACAGCCGGCCCCTTCTGCCCTCCCCATCCCAGCCTACACCCCGACTCGACCCTATACTCCCCAGAGCCCCCGCCCTATACCCCCCACTCAGCCCTATACCCCCCAGAGCCCCTCGCCCCGACACCGGCCCGTTCAGCATCCTCTCTCGTCTTTGCGCTAATCCTGATGGGGATGAAATATAAGGACCTTGGTCAGGGGTCCTCGGCCAGGGTGGACCCTCATCTTGCCTTCTCGTCTTTTTAGGGGGCCTGGGGGCCCAGGGAATGTTCCAGAAGGAGCAGTTGTGGGGGCAGTGGCCACATTCCCGCTACTCCTCCTATCCCCCCCACCCCCCTCCAGTTTCCCATGGATACCTCAGGCTGACTAGTGTCGGCAGCCTTTGTCTTTGGGTTAGTGACAGTGAATGGTGGGGTGTTTATCTTCCCCCCTTCCCTCAAACCCCGTTGGGCTGCTCCTCACAGAGATATTTCCCTCGGTGGTGGCGCAGGAGCCCCTCCCCTGGGGGGAAGACTCCAGGTCAGGGGCCACTCGGAGGACCCAGCAGCCCAGGGTGGGGTCTGCGATTCCTGGGTCTTGCTAAGCCTTTCTTCCCTTCCCTTCCGGGGGTCCATCCAGCTGGGTCTCCCCTGTGGCTCATTGTATCTCACCTGTCTTTTCTTGCAGCTCTGGGTAGAGAGCTGGTGTAGCTAGATGCCTCTCTCGGTGTGGGAGTTGCTGAATAGCCCATCCGTGTGCCTGCTGGCTCCCCTCTCCTAGTCTGCTCCCATTATTTCTCTCTCTCTCTGCCCTGCAAGGTTATAAAGGAGACTGTGGTCAGATCAAACCATTGCCCCCTCATTTTAGGCCACTCGGCCAGCAGGGGGTGGTGGTGGTGGTGGTGGTGATGGTGATGGTGATGGTGATGGTGAAAGGAGCTGTCCATTGGTGCGGAGTCTTTCTAGCTTTGCTGTCCTCTCCCGTTTGGGGTGGGGAACCAGTAAGGGCTGCTGGTGGGAATGGGGGCAGGTGGGAGCGCAGCCAACGCCATCCCTTCTGCAGGAATGCATCTTGTCGGGCATCATGTCTGTGAATGGGAAGAAGGTGCTGCATATGGACCGGAACCCCTACTATGGGGGCGAGAGCTCCTCCATCACACCCCTGGAGGAGGTGAGGCCGCCCGAGCCCGGGCCCATCCCTTGCTACCAGGCCCATCCCTTGCTTAGAGTGCTGCAGCAGCTCCTTAGGGTTTCTGGGCAGGAGGGGTGGGGGCGGGAGGGGTGGTCTTAGAGGTGCCTCTCTTTCTCTCCTCCCTGCTTACAGCTGTATAAGCGTTTTCAGTTGCTGGAGGGGCCACCGGAGTCGATGGGCCGGGGCCGAGACTGGAATGTTGATCTGATCCCCAAATTCCTCATGGCCAATGGTGAGGGAGACGCAGGACGTATTGCGGGGGGGGGGGGGTGACTGGGACAACCAGAGAGGGCTCAGGCTCCAACGGAGGGGCAGCCAGAGCTGCTGAGGGAGCCATGTTGATACTGTTGCCTTTCCTTCCGCACCCTGCAGGGCAGCTGGTAAAGATGTTACTGTACACAGAAGTGACTCGCTACTTGGACTTCAAGGTGGTGGAAGGCAGCTTCGTCTATAAGGGAGGCAAGATATACAAAGTGCCATCCACTGAAACCGAAGCCTTGGCTTCCAGTGAGTACGGGTCCCCTGAGCCAGAGGATCTTGGGGGTGGGGGCAGCCATCCAGAACAGGGCGTCCCCTACCCAAGGTCACATTCCAGAAGTCCCTTCCTCTGTCTTTTCTCTACCGCCCTGGGCTGACCTCCACACTGATTGCCAGGAGGGAAGTCCGTGTACACGGGGGATGTGGAGGGCGGACTCCATGAAAGACTTTAGCCTTTTAAAAAAATTTCAGAGAGAGAGATAGAAATAGCAATGATGAGAGAGAATCATAATCATGGATTGGCTGCCTCCTGCACCCCCCCCCCAACGAGATCAAGCCCACAACCCGGGCATGTGCTCTGACCGGGAATCGAACCATGACCTCCTGGTTCACAGGTAGATGCTCAGCTACACTGAGCCACACGGGCTGGGCAGACGTCAGCTTTTGTTAGGGGCTGCACCTGAACAGCGAAACATCCTCCAGTGTCAGAGCCAGGAGGGCCCTCAAGCCTTTCCAGATGGGAAACTGAGGCTGAGAAGGGCAGAGGGGTTCATCTAAGGTCACATGGCAGTGAGCAAGATAACTCAGCCGGGAGCTAGGGCCCCTGCTTCCTTGGCCTGCCTGGCGGGAAGGAGAGGTTTATGTTCTGTGATGTGAAGGCTTTTCTCGCATCATCTCTGCAGATCTGATGGGGATGTTTGAGAAAAGGCGCTTCCGCAAGTTCCTGGTGTTTGTGGCAAACTTTGATGAGAACGACCCCAAGACCTTTGAGGGCGTCGACCCCCAGAGCACCAGCATGCGCGAAGTCTACCGGAAGTTTGACTTGGGCCAGGACGTCATTGACTTCACTGGCCACGCCCTGGCGCTCTACCGCACCGATGAGTGAGGGGAAGCTGTCATGGCGCCCTGCACCTCACCTGGCCTGAGCCCTGCTCCCCACCCCTGCCTACTGCTCCCTCGGTCCAGTGTGCACATCTCCCGTCCTCAGCCTCACCCTCACCTGTTGCTTTTCCATTCCTTCCCCGTGTTTAACCCCTAAGTTTCCCCAGGCCAATGAGGGCGGGGGATGCTAGCTTGGTGCCTGGGTGGGGGTGAGCTGGGGGTTCTGTTGAGCCTCTTCTTCTGACCTTGTCCCTCTTCCCCCCCAGCTACTTGGACCAGCCTTGTCTCGAGACCATCAACCGCATCAAGTTGTACAGCGAGTCCCTGGCCCGGTATGGCAAGAGCCCATATTTATACCCACTGTATGGCCTTGGAGAGCTGCCTCAGGGCTTTGCAAGGTGAGACCCGAGCTTCTTTCAGTTGGCAGTACTGAACAGGACTAAGGCTAAGAATGGGAATGGCCCTTGAGCATTTTCCTGGCATCCTGTACTCTGCCCTCTTGGGCTTCATTTACTTTGCATCTTCCTTGGGTGCCAGGGTGCCAGGGTGCCACAGCAAAGTGCAGAGTGGAAGGGGCAGGCCCCTGCAGATGGGGCTTGCTCGGCCCCTGCCCGTCAGGTGGTGGGAGGACTGGGCTGGGGTCCTTGGAACCTTGAGTCAGGGCTTGCTCAGAGCCTTTAGATTTGTTCCTCAGACCACTTCCGTGAGGAGCTATGCCCCCATGCCACCCTTAACACTAGCCGTTTGCAGGATGTTCTGGGTGACAGATCTGGGTAGAACCATTGGGTCTCCCGAGCTCTGCCTGCTTGGGGCAGCCTTGTCTGTATGCCCAGGCTGGTGGGGGGAGGGTGCAGTGGCACTGGTCCCCGTTTCTTCTGGTGGGTCCTCACTCTGACTCTCCCCACCATAGATTGAGTGCCATCTATGGGGGGACATATATGCTGAACAAACCTGTGGATGACATCATCATGGAGAATGGCAAGGTGGTGGGTGTGAAGTCTGAGGGAGAGGTAAGCCTTCTCTGTGGCGCAGTCATGATGGCGTGGGTGGAATCTGTTCTTCTCCTTAGAGGTTCTCTTCCCAGTGACCCTGGCTCTGCTGGGTTTGCTGCTGCTCAGCTCTGAGGACCTTGGGTTGGGCACTGGAGCTCCAGGAGTCTACATAGCCATCCCTGTTGGCACGAGGTGTCTCTCCAGGCCCATGTGCCTTGCCAGTGGTCTGGGGAGTGTTCTTGATCAGTGTCAGCAAAGGGGGTCGCCCAGCTCGGCATCGCGGGCGTACTTCCCTGAGACGCAGGATGAAGCTGTTTGCTACATACAGGAGGGGCAGTGGCTACATAGGAGCTGCCAGCCCTAGCTGTGGGCCCATCTCCATGACCACCTAGGGGAGTGTCGGGTAGGGACAAGGCCTTTCGGTGCTTTCACAGGTGGCCCGATGCAAGCAGCTGATCTGTGATCCCAGCTACATTCCAGACCGTGTGCGGAAGGCTGGCCAGGTTATCCGAATCATCTGCATCCTCAGCCACCCCATCAAGAACACCAACGATGCCAACTCCTGCCAAATCATCATCCCCCAGAACCAGGTCAACAGGAAGTCAGGTGGGCAAAGCTCCATGTGACTTCCTCCAGGGTGTTGTCTTGGGGGTGACTCTGCCTGATCCTTCCACGGAAGAATAGAGACCCGCATCACAGTCCCCATGACTTGGGGCCCTAGGGATCGGGGGGTCGGGGGGGGGCTTGGACTCTCCCCCTTCGTGAAGGTGGCAGCTTGGATGCTGCCTGCCGTATGGAACTGGGGAGGGTCAGGCAGGCCCAAAGTGAGCCAACCTCCGAGGGCCCTTTGTGTGCTCACGTTAATGGAGCGTTTCCTGTGGACAGACATCTATGTGTGCATGATCTCCTACGCACACAATGTGGCTGCTCAGGGCAAGTACATCGCCATCGCCAGCACCACGGTGGAGACCTCGGAGCCCGAAAAGGAGGTTGAGCCGGCCCTGGAGCTACTGGAGCCCATTGACCAGAAGTGAGGGGCTGGGGCGGGGAGGACACGGAGCCGAGGAGCTGGGGGGCTAGGGGACGGGTACCGTGGAGGGCAGGGCTGTTGGTGAGACCTGTCCCCGCCCCTCCATCTGCCCTTCAGGTTTGTGGCCATCAGTGACTTGTACGAGCCCATTGATGATGGTTCTGAGAGCCAGGTGAGCAGCCTGTCCTGGCCCCAGCCCCTGGCTGCTTGCCCAGGGCCCTTACCCAACTCACCCTGGACTCCGGCTCTGGCTGTTTTCAGGTGTTCTGTTCCTGCTCCTACGACGCCACCACACACTTTGAGACAACTTGCAACGACATCAAAGACATCTACAAGCGTATGGCAGGCTCCGCCTTTGACTTTGAGAACATGAAGCGCAAACAGAACGATGTCTTTGGAGAAGCTGACCAGTGATTGCTGACCCTCCCCCGGCCCCAGATGCCCCTCCCCTATTCTCCTCCAGGGCTCGGGAGACGGGCATGGCTGGGCACCCCCCCCCAATCCCCCCCCCCCCGCGTTTCCAGCATCCTCTGCTTCCCCCACCACATTCCTGTCACCCACCTCATTGATTCACTGACCAAATCCTTAATCTTAGTGATGGTTTGGGAGATGGGCAGGGGGGTGGCTAGCATCCTCTTTCTTGGCCCTTCCTTATCCTGGGAAAAGAGGGTTCCTCTCCTTGTCTGTGTTTCTTCCCCCGACCCCGAATTCTTCTGTTCCGTACGGGAAGAACACGGAGGGAAAGCTGACTTCTGCCCCCACTGCTCTTACTAGTGGCCTTTGGAGAGCCCCCTGCCTCCCCCCACCACCTCTTGTGTGTTGGAGAGAAGGGGCCCTCCCAGCACAAAGCTTCATCCTTCACCCCTTCCCTCCCCGTTAATTTATTCTAATTTATTAACTTCCGCCTCCCCTGTCTGAGAAGAGAGTTCTGTCCCCCTCCCTCGCAGTCTGGGGCGGCCTCGGGCTGTGGAGCAGCCCCGGCTCCCTGGGCGGCCTGGGATGGGGAAGGGCTTGGGTGTGGCCCCGTTGGAGGGTGACCGTGCAGTTTTTGTTTCTCTGTGTCTTTGTATTTGTGTCCTCTGTTCCCAAGAGAAATGTGAGCAAAGCAGAAGGAGGTGGGAAAATGGATCTAGACCCCCCAGTGTGCCCTGCCCCCACCCTTTCCCTTAGTGGTGGGAAACCCCTAACTTTCAAAGTGAATGTGTGCCCTTCCCCAACCTCTAGTGTATTTCACAGGAAACAAAACCTCCCAATAAAACTGTGTGGAAACCTGAGCCTGGGTCTTCAGCATCATTTCCCCCAAACTGGGCACCGGTTAGGGCCTCGGCTTTCCTGGGTGGCATGCGGTCCCTGTGAGTTTGGGGCTCTGGCTGAGGTTGGCTCCAGATGGCTACAAACAGGTCACTGTCTTCATCAGGGAAGGAAACAGCTCCTGGACTGAAGGCACCTGCGCAGAGGAAACGGGTCACAGAAGCCTTCCCCGGGGGTTAACCTGAAAGGACCCGGGAGAGGGGTCTGGCCTGAGGCGGGGTTGAAGCGGAGGAGCAGGGTCCTTGCCTCCCTGTCAAGAAAGAGGAGGCAGACGGGACCCAGGTCTGGGGAAATGGGGGATTGAGGTCCAGTCTTGGGTGCCTGTCAAACAGGTGGAAGCAGGGGAAATGGGCTGCCTGGGGCAGCAAGGGGGAGTCACCTTGGGCCAGATCGTCAGAGAAGTGGGGTTCTCAGGGGGCTGGGGGTGGTGCTGAGCCTTGGGATAAACAGGAGGAAGTAGGACCGGGAAACCCAGCCTTGAGCCTGGGGTTCACGTCGAGGAACGGACTGGGAACCGAGGGAGTGTGTGCGGGGGTGGGCCTCCGGGGGTCACGTGGTGGGGTGGCTGGCGCTGCTGCTCTGGGCGTGGCGGGGCGCCCGTGCGTTCTGTGTTGGGCGACGTCACAGCGCGCAGGCGTCTGCTGATTGCCAGGCAGCCGGAGGCTTTGCCAGACGACTGTCGCTGTCTTCGCTGCTGCCGCTGCCACAATGGCTCAGTACAAGGGCGCCGCGAGCGAGGCGGGCCGCGCCATGCACCTGATGAAAAAGCGGGAGAAGCAGCGGGAGCAGATGGAGCAGATGAAGCAGCGGATCACCGAGGTGCGGGCTGGGCGGGGCCGCCACAGAGCATGCGCGCTACGCACTGCCCCCAGCTCCCTGGGGCCCCTGGCGACCCCGGGAGGGAGACCCTTGCTTGCTGACCTCCGGCAAGGGTTAGAAGCTCATCTGTATAGTGCGCCCAGAAAGCTGAGCCGACCTTGCTTGTGACAAGCCTCCAACAGGCAGTGGTTCATATTGGTCACATTGGGGAGCCCCTCGCAGGCACAGAGCATCCTGGCTCTGGCCCCTGTGCCCTGACAGTTAGGTCTGTGCCCTGAGCCAATGGATCCCAGGAAGGGCAGGCCCCGCAGGTCCAGGCCAACCCACCAGAGCCCTTTGCCCTGCAACAAAGGCTCTAGCATCAGGGGTGCTAGCAGGTGCCAAAAGCCTTCAGGAATGGGATGTCAGGAAGGAAGGATGTCAGGAAGGAAGGAGTCTCTCCCCCCTTCCCACCTTTGGGCCTTTGCAGTAGACTCTTCCTTTGGAATTCAGGACATGAGGGGCAAGCAGGCTCCTACCTATGTATTATACCATGGAAGCCGGGCCCAAGCAGAAACCCTTATGCTGAGGCCTCTGTTCATGCGCCACTCAGTGCTGACTCTGGCCAGCCAGAGGTACAGCATCTGGAGCTAAGAGGGAGCCATATTGCTCAGTGAGGGACTAGGTCTCTTGGCCACTCCTCACTCTCCTGTCACCCCTTGACTTGGGTCTCCAGAGCTTCTTCTTAAAAGCTGGGTATTGCCCGGGCAGTGTAGCTCAGTGGTTGAGCGTCGACCTATGAACCAGGAGGTCACGGTTCCATTCACGGTCAGGGCACATTCCAGGTTGCTTGATCCCCAGTGTGGGGAGTGTAGGAGGCAGCCAATCAATGATTCTCTCTCATCATTGATGTTTCTCTATTTCTACCCTGAAATCATATATATATATATATATATATATATATATATATATATATATATATTAAAGCTGGGTATAGCCCTGGCTGGTGTGGCTCAGTTGGTTTGAGCATTGCCTTGTACACCAAAAGGTGGGGGGTTCGATTCTTGGACAGGGCACATACCTAGATTGAGGGTTTGATTCCTGATCGGGGCACATGCAGCAGGCAACTAATCCATGTTTCTCTCTCTCTTTCCCTCCCTCTCTCTAAAATTAAAAAAAAAAGGGCCGAAACCGCTTTGGCTCAGTGGTAGAGCGTCAGTCTGTGGACTGGAAGGTCCCAGGTTCGATTCCGGTCAAGGGCATGTACCTTGGTTGCGGGCACATCCCCGGTAGGGGTGTGCAGGAGGCAGCTGGTCGGTGATTCTCTCTCATCGATGTTTCTAACTCTCTATCCCTCTCCCTTCATCTCTGTACAAAATCAATAAAATATATTTTAAAATTAAATTAAAATTTTAAAAAGGCAGGTAGAACCCATAGATCTAGGGTGCTGAGGGAACTCTGGTACCCAAGGGGAGGTCTGGAAGGGCCAGAGCAGCTCAGAGGTCACAGGAAAACAAGCCCATGTAGCTCCCTCAGCACTGAGAGAGCCCCTCGCAGCCCTGTGGAAAGTTCCATCCACTGAGGAAAGGGGACGTGTTTCTGCCAAGGTCACGCTATAGGCCAAGAGCAGATCTGGGGCTAGAATGCAGACCCAGGTCCCCACTTCCACCGTGGTGTGGTGGGCGGCCCTCACTGCCGCTCTCCCTCCCTTACAGGAGAATATCATGAAATCCAACATTGACAAGAAGTTCTCTGCGCACTATGATGCGGTGGAGGCAGAGCTCAAGTCTAGCACCGTGGGTAAGCAACACATGCATGTCACCCTCTCCTGGACCCAAAACGGTTGTTTTGCTGGCTCTGGGTGGCCGATCCTTAATCCCATGTCTCCTGGCCTCGCAGGACTGGTGACCCTGAATGACATGAAGGCCAAGCAGGAGGCACTGGTGAAGGAACGCGAGAAGCAGCTGGCCAAGAAGGAGCAGTCAAAGGAGCTGCAGCTGTGAGTCCTCTGTGCTGGCAGCCCCTCGCCAAGGTGTAGCTAGTGCATGGAATTGGGTCATGCTGGCTCCTGCCTCTTGAACAGGGACCCTTGTGTCCTAATCAGAGCACTGCCCATGAACTTGAAGTGACCCAGGGCAGTAGGACTCCTCAGGGTCTGTACCCCATGGGCCTACCCTGAGCCCATAAGTGGCTCTGGTCCATGGAAGGGGCCTCGGGTGAGGATGTGGTGATGATGGCTATCCATGCCCCGCAGGAAGCTGGAGAAGCTGCGAGAGAAGGAGCGCAAGAAGGAGGCCAAGAGGAAGATCTCCAGCCTGTCTTTCACCCTGGAGGAAGAGGAGGAATTGGAGGAAGAGGAGGAAGAGGAGACCATGGATGAGGAGGAGTTGGAAAGAGAAGGTGAGGGCAGGCTAGGGGCACCACTCTGTCCCAGGTTTCTAGCTCTAGAGCAGTGGTCGGCAAATTCATTAGTCAACAGAGTGGCAAACCGAGCCACAGTTTGCCGACCACTGCTCTACAGTGAAGCAGCACATCCATCACCCAGCCTCCATTGCCCGCTGTGTTTATGGTCCCGAACTTTACATGTCAGGGCAGGACAGAAAGAGCCAAGTCTGCACTGTGTATAGAGCCCTAGCTTGCTTGGTTCAGTGTATAGAGCATCAACTTGCGGACTGAAGGGTCCCAGGTTCAATTCCAATCAAGGGCACATGCCCGGGTTATAGGCCTGAGAGAGGCAGCTGATCAGTGATTCTCATCATTGATGGCTAGGGGCACCACTCTCTCTCCCTCTCTTCTTCTCGGAAATCAATTTTAAAAATATATTTTATTTATTTTATTATTTTTAAATATATATATATATATTTCATTGATTTTTTTTTACAGAGAGGAAAAGGAGGGATAGAGAGTTAGAAACATCGATGAGAGAGAAACATCGACTAGCTATCTCTTGCACACCCCTTACTGGGGATGTGCCCGAAACCAAGGTACATGCCCTTGACTGGAATCAAACCCGGGACCTTTCAGTCCACAGACCGACTCTCTATCCACTGAGCCAAACTGGTTTTGGCTTAAAACTATATTTTAAAATAATTTTTAAAAAGCTGAGTTGGGGTGGGGCCTTGCCTTCAATGGCATTGAGTAGGAGCCATTCGTGTGAGCCCCATACAGGGCCATGGGGTCTTCAATGTGAGACCCTGCTAGAGCAAGCTGCTGTAGGTACCATGAAGGATGGACCAAAGACAGGAGAGAATGGTCTAGATCAGGCTGGCTGGTAGAACTTTCTGTGATGACTAGAGGCCCGGTGC